AAGCCAGTAGCAATTCTGCCATATCAGGTTTGCAAGTCTTTAGATGACCACTAGATGGGTCAGTTTTACAGTTCTGATGTAGTAAGCCTAATAATTCATATATAAACTGATTTTCCTCATCAAGTAGAATGCATCCCCTTTCTTTGCCATTTTTATTGATGAAGAGTTCAAGAAAATCTGAAAACCTACACAGTCTTGTAGGTTTGTATAAGCACCTCACCTAATAGATCAACTGTCTCCCAAGTTTTTATTCTAAAATTCAAAAATCAGAAGGTAGTAACTTTATTAGATTTTTTAAAAATGTCACACAGTCTTGTTATCACTTTCTGATTTTTGAATTTTAGAATAAAAACATGGGAGATAGTTGATCTATTAGGTGAGGTGCTTATACAAGTAATTGTACATACAAGACTGGTAAATTTAATCTCCTTGATTCAATACTAAAATTCCCACAGCATTTTGGATTCTTGTCCTGGGTAGTGAAATCTTAGAACCCTGAAGAGGAACAGACTGAGGACAGCTGACCTAATCAGTGAATGGATTTATTCAGCAAATCACGGGTAGAAATTATGACTGAATGTGATAAACCTAGCTATATCTGCCAAAACAACAACAACAACCCACACACACACAACCAATGGTGATTTTTACTTTGTCTATGAATTCCAAGATGCAGGAGCAGGATGTTTAAGTGATTGGGATTTTTTAATCAAAGGGATCAGTTTTCCAGAGCTTTGTTAGATATTGAAATATTAATGTTGTTTGATTTCAGTTGACAAACTGAATCTGAAACAAATCCTCAATTAATGCAATCCAAAGTTCTTACCCTGCTTGACTTCTGCTATATTAAGAAGTTGTGCCTGATAGAGCGCCCTGGTCAAAAACAACTTGAATTAAATACCAAAATGCAGACTGACCAGGATTACTGAAAGTAGTTGTCTGGAACAGTGTATATCCCTATTGTTAATCTGGTATATTTTAAAGAGAAAACAATACGTGCTGGTCACAGGATGGTACTTGTAGAAAAAATGTTTATTTAAGAACTCTATAAGAAAAATAGAGCTGTTTCAGCAGTGTGGTCAAAAAGAAAAAAGAAATATGCTTCATTTCTATTCTTCTTGGGAAGGAAGAATTTATAAGAATGGGGATGGGATGAAGACTTGAATCACTGTGAGAGGTCAAGCCCACTGAATGCAGAATAACATTCCCATCAGAAAAGAAGCTGGAATTTAATAGGTTCAATTGATGTGATTTAATCATTTTTCCACACTATGCAAGTATAATTCTTACTGCTATTAATACCTATACTGTTAAATATAAACATCTTCATCACATGTTTCTAATGTTATACATAGTATCAATAATATCAGTTTATAATATCTTCTCTAGCCAAAACATATCTCAAATGTTTTTACAAAGTTTCCTTATTCAATCCGTATCCTGTTTTTTTCTCTTTTTTTCAACTTCAATTTCCCATCAATATTCAAAATAACTTTATCAATTATCATTTTTCTCATCATTAATTACATCTGGGTAACTAAAAGCTTCCCTTATATAGACCCTCTTAGTATTTTCATATTTCCCATCTTATAGAAAATTATGTTATTCTAGTTACAAATCACATCTTTCTAATTGATAATGGTACTTTTATTTCTAACAATTGTCTATTCTTCTAATCATATTCAAACATCCATTAGATGGTATAATACCTATCTAATTAGTCAGGACCTCTATTTTCTTCAGTCTTACTCTAGCTTTCTTCCTGCCAAATAATTTTGCAAGTCAGTACATTTAGGTCACCAAGTATTTCTTCCTCTGTTTCTGTATATATTATTTGGAAAAGTGTTTTTGAAAAAAATATTCATTAAACAGCCTCCATTTTCTTTCTTCTTCAGTTTCTCTTTCAGTTTCTTGTTCCCCAGTTTTCATCATTTCTCCTAACAGCTCTGTCATCCATTCTCTCAATTCTTCTTCCTTGTCTTCAAATATGTTCTGAAGTCCTGAAAAGTAAAATGTCTTTCCCATTTCCAGTGTTGTATCTGGGTCTTCCAAATTTTTATTTATGTGTGCCTCTCTGTTGGTTTCTTCTTTTGAATCAGTTTTCTCTATTTTTTCTTCTAGTTTTTGAGTTACTACCGGTAGTTCATTCTTTATGATTATTTTCTGAACGTTTTTTGCTTGTAAGTTTAAGTTGGAGAATTGCTCATTTATGTTATTTAAATTATTTTTAGTCTTCTCATAATTTAAAACAATTGTCTCTTGAATAGATTTCAACGTGGAAATAATTTCTTTCTGAATTCCATTTACATTTTCTTGTTGATTATCCATGTTTCTTCCAGAGAGAAATAGACCAGAAGCAACTTTCCCACTGTTTCTTAATATTTCTTGATAATTCTTGAAACTAAAAGTCAATGTTTGTAATCCAGGCTGGCCAATTCAGAATGGTTTATTGTCTCCTTCATACAGATAAAACAGCCCAAGGATTTTTTTTTCCTTTTTCCCAGCTGCAGTCTGCAAAAGTGAAAGTTTCTAGGAACAATAAAGAGCCTTATCTATGTCCGGGCTTCGTGCCAAATTTTCTTTAAGCATAATAAATTGTAATGCCAAGGTTCACCACTAGATGTTATTAACATCCATCTTCCAGCTTTTAAGTCCAAACTTATTTCACCAACTTTCCAAATATTTTTCAAAAAGAAAGTCTTAAAAATACTTTTAGTCCCCAAATTTGTCAAAGCTATGTCTCTATATTAAATCCAAATTAATCTTGTAGTTTTCTCTAATTTCCTCCCCAAGAGAGTTATTTGCCGCTTCTCTTTTCTATCATCTGGGGGTATTCTTTGCTTTGGGAATTCTTTTTTCCAGGAATAAGTTTTAAAATTATAAAGAGAGGATTACGTTCTCACCCAGTTCCATCCATGTTGTTGCTAATTAGTGCTTATCTTGGGTTGTCAGTGGCTTCTGGCTGGCCACATAAATGCGGCCGGTTTTTCTTCTGCTGGTTTGAAGGGTTTCCTTGGATCAAACGTAAGGGCCACCGCCCCTCCACGATCGACAAGGGTCCCATTCTTCTTTGTCACCTCTCTGAGGCAACGTTAGGCCTTTTTTAGGGTCCCCAGCAGAGCGAAATAGGATGTGGAAAACGGAGCCCTGTTTTCCTGCGCCCGTAACACCACAATGTCTAACCCAGAAGTCTACATCCACTTTTCTTCTCTGATATGTCGCCTGTGCCTCTTAGCTAGCTACTTCTTGGCAGTACACATCTTTAAAAAGAGTGTTCACCCTGAAGATAGCATTCCACTGGGTTTGTTTATTTTTTTCCTTTTTAATTATCTCTTTTGTAAGCTCTACTTTCTCCTTTTTGTAGAAATATTAACAGAAACCAGTGATTTGGCAAAAGTGAATATTATTGCAGAATACTAAAGAAAGGAAAGTGAGTATGGCTGGCTTTGCAAGCCATGTTTTGTGAGTTCTGTCATTAGTACAGAATGCTGAAGCTGTGGAGAAAAAGTATGAATTGCTTGCCAGCCAACTTGAAACATGGAGAAAGATTGATCAAGGGTGGAATCATTGGGGGGGGGGGAGAGAGAAGTTCTGTACCATACTTAAAAACCCATTCTGGATACTAGCTCTACTACTTCCAAAATTAAGAAAATGCATGCAGAGAGAAGTCAGTTGAAGCTGGTATAAAATAGAAACTGTTTAATTTTATCTTTTGCCCAGGCACAGGAAAAAGTAGGCTATTTGGAAAATCAATCTTTGTACAGTTTAGACCAGGCATGTCAAACTTGCGATGTCACGTGATGTTGCATGACGTATTGGGACTTTTCCCCATTGCCAGCAATGGGGTGGGCGCGGTTTCAGCGTGACGCATCTGGCCCATGGGCCAGCAGTTTGACATGCCTGGTTTAGATGGTGTTCTGATATAGCTCTAGAGAAAGACTTTATCAAGCATTAGATTAGTTTTGGATAGTCACTGATGAGCCAATGATTCTGGCAGTTTGCTTTGTGATGATTGACATGTTATGCCCCAGAGACACGATCATAGATTTTGGTGATTTTATTTACTCTAAGTACTTATTGATATGAACCACTATTTTTTCATTACATGCAGCTGAATGCATGAACTGACCTGATGCTTAAAGACTGGTGTACATAAATGGTATTCATATTTAGCTAAACATGTAAAAAATTATTTCTACTGTGCAGTCATCCTAAGATATCATGATGGGCCAAACTTAAGGCTTCTCTAGTTCTGCCTGAGTGAATCTTATTCTTTCAATTACAAGATATGGTATTAAGTCATAGCTTTTTTTGTTTAGTTTTTAAACTAAATGCAGGCTATTCCGAACCCATTACAAACAATTTAGTGATACAAACAGATCACTAAAATGGAAAAATGGACTGTAAGTATGCTTTGAGATATAAACTGACATGCTCATGAATCAGGAATACTGTAAACAATTTGTACTGTTAGGTCCTCCTGAGCCGTCAGAGTTTCAAAGCTCAGTGAAGTGCTTTTGTACAAGGAAACTCATTAATAAATCCAGCTACCATAGGGAGTTTCACATTTAAAGATCTGCTGCAATAACTACAATAACTGTCACCGGGAAGTGATTATCCACATTTTATTAAGTTCAAATTCCTAATCTGAAACTAGCATTATAAAGATTTTGGAAACCTTGTGGACTGATCATTGAGGTGCCCTCAAAGATTATGCAGGGGACTGAATGGAAGGCTCCAGTTATGGCCCAGGGCATGAAAACGGAGAGTGAATATTGTCCAAAGATATAATGCTACTAATGGGGAAAAAAATGTTGGAGCATAACTGAGTTTGCTGTAACAGCAGGCATATCACCCTACTGGTACATAGCATAAAAATGCTGTAGTACAAACTGAAATGAAAAATGAAAAATCATGTCCAAATTCAAGGTGGGAAGAATGCTGCTTTATATGGGTATTGCTGTATATTCTGACCTGTGTGTTTCTGCTTGATCTTACAGGAGTTGTACTATGTCCAGGCAAGGTATCGCTTGAGCAAGACACCTTTTGGAGAGACAGAGCCACAGCTATCCCAAGGTCCAGAAGTGAGAGACAGGTCCTCCCTTTGGGCTAGTGAGAAGGGCCAACTGAAGAGAGCCCTCTCAACTGCCAGCTTCACATCCCTCTGCTTTGGTTTGAGCTGAGTTTGGGTGATATCCACCTTTGCCACTCTCATGAGCAGAATGGAGTCTAAAGAAAGCACCCGAAGTGGAAACAAGACTGATAGCAAGACTGCTAGCTCAGCAAAATCTGAGAAACCTCACTCTGGGCCGGCAGCAAGTGCTGATAAGAAAGAAGCTCCTAAGGAGCCGCCAACTCCTGCTGCCACCACCCCTGCAAAGAAAGGGGCCACAGCACCCAGCGAGGCAGCCATGCTGAATGACCACAGCAACCTGAAGCCTGCCGCAGTGCCAGCAGCTGAGGGGCCTGAAGCAAGTGCCCATCCTGCTAACTCTGAGCATAAAGAAAACAATGCAGAGGAGTCGCCAGGGAGCTGCATGTTTGAGAACATCAAGCCCCTGCTCATCTTTGGAGGGGCAGCAGTAGCTGCCATAGCTGTGGTCATAGGAGTAGCCATTCTAGCTCGGAAAAAATAGGGAACCTAAGGAATGCAGGGAACAGAATTTCCCCTGAGTTGTGTACTGTTCCTTTTGACATCAGTGCATGCAATCACTTGTATACATACTTATAAATATGCAGTATATAGCAAGAGAGACGTAGGTAGGTCTTACTCAAGGTTAGTATACCAGGGTCCTGAAAAAAAGAAGATTTTTTTTCCCCCCTGGTCAATAGATGCTATTTTGTGTTTTCTTTCCATAGCTCCTCCCCATCCCACTTTTTGTCAGCTTTTAAACTTGGTTCCAGCATCATTTTCAGATTCCTTTGCTTTTAGTTGTGCCATGGAAGAGCAGATGAAATAAACACTTTCTCTTCAAGAGGACCATCTAGTATCCTGTAGTCCAGCTCACTGAAATTACTTTCAGAGATGCATAAAATGGCAGCATCTTCACTAATCTGAAGTGTATTCATCTACTTCGGTTCGTTGTCAGAGCATCCAAGTATAGTCTCACCTAAATTAAAAAGTTCTCTTCGGAGTACGAGAAGCTATCAGAGTTCAAGAAGCAAACTTAGCTTACTGAGATCACTAATCAAAGCCCAGGAGGAAACATCTTGGCTTGCCATCTATCACACAATGTCTACAAAGTACTAAATATAGTTTAGCCATTGATTGGAATAGCTTTGGAATATAGTAAAGTAGTCTTTCTCTACCATTTAAGTGCATGTCAAATGCAACCCTGCATTGGCCAAGTACCTTTGTAGAATTTAGATACCTTTAAAAAGTGTTTTTTTTAAAAAATAAAAAATAAAATCAGATATTGAAATCTATGTGATTTAAACTTTTGGGAAATTGAAAAGCTCATCTGCTTATGGATTTTGAACTAATAGTGGAGCTTCTCCATATAAAGGTACATACCTGTTTGTGCTATAAATGGGAATCAAGGGAAACAACAAACGTCAAAGGATTAAGTGTGGAATTATGGATTTAAGAAAATTTGCATATGGAACAGCTGCCCAAATACAAGCATTTGAACCAATGGACGATCTTTATTTCAACCTTTTATAGCTTTAATTCAAAATATAGCAAAAGAATAATATAGCCTCATGTATTTCATTGGAAATTATGCAAAGAAACAACAAACACTGAGTCACAGGAGCCATTCCCCCCCCATAACATTTGAACCAGGATGCCGAAGATTAGAGCAAATTTCCTGTTTTGAAATAGGTTTGTTGTGTTGGTGGTCTTCTTGAAATGTTTAAAACCAGATTTGGGGGGGTGGGGATAGTTATTTGTCTTTGATATATTTACTAAAGATATTTCCCCGACAGAAAGAATTTGGACACTGGAGCATTGGTTATAATGTAAGATGACTGAATGACCATCCCTCATGTAGTAGATTTTTTTTTCCTGCTTGGACCCCACCAGTGTGAAACAGGTGTGTATGTGTGTATTAATTATACAACATACCCATACCAATGAGATTACATTTAGTAAAAGATTAATGCTTGTGTTATGTATGTATATGTGTATCATGTTTTCATCTCATCATAATGTTTGTGTTATGTATGTATATGTGTATCATGTTTTCATCTCATCATCTCATCATCTCAACTAACCTCTATACTAGATTTTTTTTTTGTATTTTTAGCCCCACTCACTTTAACGTTGCAAACTATAAATCCAGAAGTATAGTAAAATGATAGTATTGCCAAGGCCAGTGTTTTTTAATCTTGGCAATTTTAAGATGTGTGGACTTGAACATGGCTGGCTGGGGAATTCTGGGAGTTGAAGTCCATACATCTCAAGAGTTGCCAAAATTGAGAAACATTGGCCTACACTACAATTAATCATCTCTCTTGCATTTATGGCTGTGATCTTATAGGTTAGGTCTATAAGGGAATCATTCACTGGCACTCATTGTTTCATATTGTGATATCCCACTGTTCTGAATAATTTTTCAGAAGCTTTTCCCCATCTGAAAACCTGTATTCTTGTGTATATGTGTACAAGCTTCTTTGAGAATATGTGTATATACATTATAATTTATGAAGCCTTTGTAAAGCTACAAAACCTGTATTCTTTGTAGAAAAGCAGAATGCAACCATTTATCTGCACACCTGCATTCACACAAAGTGTCTGTGTTTGTGCCACTTGCATTTCATTGTACAATAGCCAAAACCAAGATTTCCTTTCAATAAACAAAGATACATTTAGCTAATTGATGAATGTATAATAATCCGTCTTGTGCTTGTAAGGAATCCCTCTGATTGATGGACAGTTGCTGGTACAAAAGAACTTTCTCTGCTTGCCTCTGATACGTGTTCCTAAACTATTCTGGAGCAATTGATAAGAGCCTGGAGTAGGAAAGGGATGGGTGAAGAAGGAAGAAGCTATTATGCCCAAGGAATGGCATCAACAGATATTCCCCAATATAGTTTGGTGGTGTAATTGTGGATTGTGTGATAACATGTGCAGGCTTATTTCTCTCTTGAAGTTTAATGTAAACCTAATGGTGGTGTATCAGCTTTGCCCCTGCCCCAAACTGACCCTTAGGGAAATGATAGTGATGCAGAACTAGCCTAACTTGCTGCATGTGTTTCTGTATACTCCACAAATTACATTCACTGCAATAATAAACACAGCAAATGCTTCCTCATTCTTGCTTTGAACAATGGACATCTGGAAAATGTGTTTGTTTATGTAGGCTAAGCTCAGTGAACTTGTGCTTTATGAAAATGTGCAATTTTCGATAGAAAGGCTAGTTATGTTTCAGTTTGGTAAGCAATATCATGTAAGCTTTTGAATGTGTGTCAACATTTGTGTTTGTTTCTTTTAAAGGTGAACAAATCAACATGCACTGCATCCTGATTTGTGCAACCTCTCATATGTCTTGTCTCCTTACTTAGTGGCTTTGGGTTGCTGCTTATTGGCACCAGGGAAATTGCCGCAAAGTTTGACATTGGCATCTCTACTATTGGCTATACTTTGTATAGTACAACAATCCCATTTAAGCATTTCTCTAGTTCCAAGGTTGTTGATACGCTTCTATTATCATTAGTGATAAAGTAACAAAACACTTCCTTCAGAAGGCTAACCATCTTCAGCTGGGACCCTTGTATGTCTTGAATGAAGTCAGGATTGCTTCTATTGGTTTTTAAAGGAGTCCCCCGCCCCCATTTCAATCTTTGCCATACTTTGCCGTGCATACGGGCAAAATAGTATTGTTTCTATTTATTGTTGCAGATCAGCTGGATTATTATACAACTCATCAACTAACTGTTTTTATACTTGGTATTTTTACTCTTTCCCTACCCAGCTCCCCAAGTTTAGGTATCGTATCAGCCTCTTTCATTGTTTAGATTGAGAATGAATGGACCAAGGCAATTCTGTGAGCTTTATGGGTAAGAAAGGTCTAGACCAGGGGTTCTCAACCTTGGCAACTTTAAGACTTGTGGACTTCAATTCCCAGAATTTCTCAGCCAGCTTTAGCTGGCTGAGGAATTCTGGGAGTTGAAGTCCACAAGTCTTAAAGTTGCCAAGGTTGAGAACCCCTGGTCTAGAGCTTTGACTCTCAAGACTCAACTTTACATTGTTTTTTTAAATACAGTGCAGTCCTCCGAAAGTACATTCTAGAGTAAATTGCACTGACTTTTGAGTTATTTTTACAAAATGAGTGCACCTTTTTCTGTAGATAGGAAATGATCAGCTAATATTAAATGTCTGCTCCAACTGGGTATTTCCTATATCAAATGGCATGTATTAGTATGAGTGGAGCTGGAGTTAATGTTAAAAGACAGAGGATGTGAAGAATAATTGGACACTGCTCCTTAGTAATCACAGACAGTGTTGTTGCCAATATTGGAACTGCCATCCTTGCCCCCATCTTTAATTTTAATGTAATGGAATTGGGGGAACTGGCCTTGAGACAGTTTTTGAATACTGGTAGCTTCAGCAAATTCATTAGCAAACTGCTGTGATAGCAAAATGAGTCATGATATCGTTGTATAAGTGGTGCAGTAATGTGATGATATCAAAATATCTGATGCAAGTAGCTAAGTCACAGCCTTTGTATTTGATGATGTCATGATGCATTTGTCACTCTCTTTCCATCCAATCTAGCTGCAGATGTCCATGTATAGCCTCCTAATAAAGAAATACACATTTAACGTAAGTCTATCATGCATGATCAAAAAATCCCCATTCAGTAGGCCAGACTTCCTATATGTGCTTATTTGGTAGGAAATACATGAGTTGTTCCCATTTTTATTTAAATGATACAAAGTTTTCATTCTGCATATAAATTTGGAAAGACAGTTCCCTCAAATTCCTTTTTTGTTGCTGTACACCCTTTAGTACAAAATATTAAGATATATTAGCAATCTCAATTTGGCTGGAAACATGTATCAGTAGAGTCAGGGAGATCAGCCCTTTATCAGCTTTATATAGGACATTCAAGAGGGTTCCTTAATTAAACATACTGGAACTTATGCATGAACTGAGGATTCAAGGTGACACAGCTATAACTGCAGCAATGCTTCAACTGCTTCAGTAATTGATTCTGATAAAAAGTTTTTCCCAACATATTTCGCTTTTTTTTTTTGCTTGAAAGAAAGACTCAGATTTCACTATTCAATATCAAAAATGAGTATATTATTTGCTGGTTTTAGATATTGTCCCCATACAGTTCACAGAAATGGATAGTGTTTCTCTCTTTAGTGACTAAAACGTGAAAAACGAAAGAGGGAAAACTAGCAAAAGCATAAGAAACTCCTTCTCATCCCCAAAAGCCACTTTTATTATATAAGATCTGGTTGGTTGTTTTAGATGTGTGAGGACAATAAAATGTAATGACAAGAACTAGTATCTAAAAACCGAAAGTAATTTAGTTTAGACCAGGGGTAGGCAACCTTGGCTCTTTTATGACTCGTGGACTTCAACTCCCAGAATTCCTGAGCTAGCATGGCTGGCTCAGGAATTCTGGGAGTTGAAGTACACGAGGCATAAAAGAGCCAAGGTTGCCTACCCCTGGTTTAGACAAATATATGTACAAGTGGGCAAACGTTAAGACTATGCTTCTATCCAAAGTCTTGGCTCTGTCTGTCTTACATTCTCCCATTCTTCTTATACCACTTCTTTTTTCACATGAACCATCTTTTAAGATGCCCAGTGTACAAAGCCCACCTCACCTTCTCCATGTCACAGAATCTCCCATACTCTGCCAAGCAGTCTTCAGTTTAGCTTGACTCCAACGTCATTTTAAATTGTACTCTAGGATGAATGGGGGGAAAAAGCACTGGCTGATGTAACCCCTTAATTTCTTCTGTTTGTTAATATGAGCATGGCCCAAAATATCTGGCGTATGAAAGATAGTTCTGTTATAAATTTCTGTTTCAATCCCAAAGCCATGCCTTGGTTATAAGGTGGCAGCTACAGTTCCATCATTATATCTCATTGTGCAGAATTGATGAGCACTATGTGATGCAATTAATCCATTGCTAATTTTTCAGTCATAGAAGCTTAAACCAGTTTCCCAAGCTACCAAAAATGCAAGGAGAATACCCCTTTTGTGATATGCCTGTATCCTTGTTCGTAAATGTATTTGAGGTGATCTCCCACCCCTTCATATTTCTTATGTCTTTTCCTATATTTATGGTTAAGGGAAGGTCCAAAGTAATCCGTGTAGATGGGAAATGCTAGTTGATTCAATCCGAATGTTTGCTATCTGCTTCTAGATTCATTTGAACAAAACAAAATCATACAAAATGTACTCCACAGCAAAAAAACAATGTAACATTACTAAAGAGTCTCCCCATTAATACGAGTAGCCTATAACATTAATTGATTATTTCCCTTACTTAACAGGCACACTTACATAAACAACATGAGATTCTCCATAGGTCCTGGGCTATAACCAACCCAGTTCCGAGATATAGTCCAACACAATTGGAAAGAACAAAGTTGGTAAATGCTAACTTAATATATGTTGGCCTATGCATAACAGAGATTAAGGTGGTTTCTTTTTTTCATTTTGAAGTCAGCTGTTGCAGACTATCTTTTGTCAAAGCAAATGTGAAGAAACACCACTTTGAGTTAGAAAATAAATCTGAACCTTTTAAAAATCTTCTGATATTGCCTATGCTTCTATGGACACTTTGTATGGGCTTCAGCTCAGCTCCTTAAAATGGCAAAGAATTTTTCCTTTCCCATATAGTATTCTCTTTTATTTGAATTTTAAAATGCGTATAAATGCAATAATGCAGGTAGAGTAGAACTATTAGACTGAAAATTAAAGTAGTTTAGCTTGTCCCATTTGTGACCTACAGTGTTGTATGACACCCAACACTGTATCCTAGCATTCTCAAGGCTTTCCTACATAGCTGAATCTAGTCTTAGCTTTGAAAAATCATTGTGTGAATGGTGGGGTGGGTTGACTGGGAACGTGTATACTTTACATACCGTATGTTATTTGCATCAGAAGCTACATAGCCACTCCATTTTCTATGAAACTGTAAATGATTCCCAATATACCTGTAACTATTATCAGGATTGTGTGAAATAAACTATATATATCTATATAGATATACATGTATATTGTATAATTCCTACAGTTATCTTCATGTCTTATTTTCAGTATAATCCTTTAAAGAAAAAAATGTAATACATAGCTTATTAGGGTAAGAGTATTTTCTGAACACAGACCAAGAATGATTTATCAGTTAGGGCAGTAGAAGCAATCCTGATGGCCTTGTGATGAAGACACTCGCCTCCCACTCAAAAGATTGAGAGTTCAATCCTAGGTAGTAGCAGATGTTTTTCTCCTAGGGCAGGGGTAGGCAACCTTGGCTCTTTTATGACCAGAATTCCCGAGAATTCTGGGAGTTGAAGTCCATGAGTCATAAAAGAGCCAAGGTTGCCTACCCCTGTCCTAGGGCATAAAGAAAAAAATCTGCTGTGAACTCCACATGGCATCAGGAAGTGCACCTGGCCAGTAAATGCTCACCTCTGTTCAGTCACCCCAACTCTTTCCTGAATAAAGGGATTACAGGGTTGTAAATTAGACAAATGCATAATCAAAACTGGTATTTGTGTATAATATTTAAATCCAACAGCAAACAGACCCTTAAGACAGGGAATTGAGGAAACAAAGTATTATATAATAAATATGAACATTGCTCCAATTTAGGGTTACATTACCTACACTTTATTTTTCCCCTGATATAATTTCAGGAAATAACACAGGGATGATAGTAAAGAATAATAGAAGTAGCTGAAGGGCTTGGAAATTATAGAACCATATTTAAAACTATGCTGCTGGCAATACATTTCCAAGGGTTTTTTTAAATGACATAATCATATTATGATTCAGGAGCAGAGGAAATTTAAGTCATTTTAAGGCATTATGTTGAGACTATGTTGCCATTAGGGGAATACCTTTGAGATAATTTCAGGTGTATGGCACTTCTGTGAATTGTGTACCTCTATTTCTAGCTGGAAAGTAAAGTCTTCTTTACAAAATTGGTTAGTTTGGTAATAGGAATTCAGCCTTCACCCATAATCATTATCATTGATTTGTTGGCAGCTCACTTTGGAACAATTGATTCAAAGCACAGTTCTCCTGCTATGTATAAGAACCAATTTTTCGGTGCTCTTGAATTTTCTCATAATGCTTAAAAAGTTTCATATGATACCACATCAAGATACTGAAAAACTGGCTTCTCATAACAACAATGAAGGTGATATGGATTAAAGTACTGTAAATGGGATGAGCTGAAAATCAAAACATGTTTGGAAGGAAACTGCATGGAGATTAGGAGGAGGTGAACATTTGTTGTTTTTCTCCATGGCAAACCAGATTTCAGTACAAATCTTAGAGATGGGCATAAATGAGAAATCTGGAAAAAAACAAGTAGAATTATATGTTCACCTTTTGTTCTGTGTTACGCTAGGTTAGTAAACTATAATATCCTTTCTTTTTGACTTTCTTTAACATGTGAATCCATTCTAAGAAATAAATAATGAATCTGGAAGTATACAAAGACAGGGAAATAAAGGCCTATGCTAAAGCATATTGTGAGTCCTTGTTCACAGTTAATCTGGATAGCAATTTTGTGTCAACAGCTCAGTAACAAGCATTAAGTCTAGATCTTAATTATGTCAACATAATATTGGTATAGTCTTTCTTTGAAAACACCTACATGTACCTCTATTTTTGAAAACTGGAGGTAATTTCTAGAAGGTTCAAGATAATCCTGATCTTCTAAAATATTTCAGGATGATAGTTCTAGGCCATGAGAAATATGGTCTTGGAAAATCAGACCCAAACAAGAGTGAAATTAGAATTTGAGTTTGCCTTCTTAATTGAATAATATTAAAGTCAAATAATATTGCATAAAGGCCATGGCATTATTAAACAGCTATACAACTTAGGGTCTTTTTCGTTAAGTATTACTCTGTCTTTTTCCTTCTTGACTAAATTCCCAATTTATACCTATTTTCTGAAAGGTGACTACCATAGCAAGTTATTTTAAATTACATCTCTCTATGACAAATGCTGAATTAATTTGCAGTGCTTGAAAGAGAGCCTTCCGTTTTACATTAACTATATAAACAAGGTTTTGAGCGTGCATAATATATTGAAATTATGACTTAAAAAGCAAAAGTTAGTAGAAACAATATAATAATTTTAACTATGTATATGACACAAATATGTCACAAAAATGACTTAAAATGTAAAATTGGTCTGCTGTATAGTTTTGTTTCTTTAAAATTGACTACAATTACAACCATCAAATAAAAAAAACATTTTGTAGCCAATATCTATATCAGAAAACATGTATAACTGGCTTTTATAGCAAGATGATGATTTACCATCTAAAGTAACAAGCAGTTTGTGAGAGAACTTTTGGAAAGCACCTCTTTTTGAATGATTAAAGCACATCTTTTTCCATTTCTGAAAGATTTGCAGTCATACAGTTTATGCAAATGAAAAGGAATCTATCCATAATAGCATCTAATGTATTTCTACTTGCAAGAAAAGAACAAGAAAAAAAATACAAAAATTCTTCTCCAGATCCTAAACATAAATTGTGCTATCTATTGTGATACCTCTCCTGACAGTTAAAATAATTAAAAGTACAGTCCTATATAAATACTTAGAACTGAATAGATGAATGAACCCAATATTGTAAGCTTATACACGATTAGTATATCATATTGCACTTTTGTCATCTGTGCACAAAAATAATACATGTAAATCTGACAATTTAAATAAATGTACCTGAAGAGGGGTATTGGTCTAGGACAATTAAAACGAATTGCAGTAAGAGTCACTTTGTTCAGAAGTGATTAACACAAAAGATGGTCACCCTATATTAAAATATGCCAGTTTAAGACATAGTTTGGCAACTAATAGTGTTGTGGCTGGAGAATTACATGATAGTTCTATTCAGGGTTGTTATTTTTACTACAACCAAATGGCTTGGGGCTTACTCCCAAGTAAGTGTACATAGGCTGTGCTCACAGATGAAAAAACAAGTTGCATTTGTCTGAGTAGGAAAATATATCTTGCAGACATGCAGCAATTTTCCATTCCCCATAATTTAAAACAAATTATTTTAGGGTGAAAAAAAATGGAAAATCAGACTGTTTTTTAATCTTGTGTTTGCATGCCAGATGCATGCTGCATGAGAAAAGCCAATGCATGGCAATAATAAAACTAAGCTATAATGAATAGGCCTAAATGAGTTTCAAGAAGGAAATATCAGTTTGTAAAAATAAATTTTATATTATACCTAAGTCAATGAAAGAGGTACTTCACAAAAAATATCCTGAAAACATTAAAAAGTCTGTGTCCTTTGCAGGGCTCTCTTTAATAGCTTTTCCAGGTATTTTTGTTCCTGTATGTGCAACTGTATGCTAGGCTAAAGGGATGCAGTTGTGCATGGATGCACAGATGGCTTTTCAAAGTAAATGCTTTGCAGAGCTATATCATTTAACCCTTTCCTAGGGACAACCAAATCACAGGCATTTAATTTCTAAGAATTATATACAGGAGAGAAATTGTAAATAGAGTACTGTAAAAGACTTAAATACCCTGTTGTCTCACATAATCTAAATACTTTCCTCTTGTTCTTTTAAAAGCAATGGTAAAGTTTTTAGGACAGGGATTGTTCTTTTCTCTGAAATGCTGTTTCTTTTCTAAAAGGAATATAGGGAGAGATATGCAATTATTTCTAAATTTATTTCTATTCAGCCAGTTTGGCCTTTCATTTTTTTGTGAGAAGGGCAGTTAAGAGACAGGATTGAATAAATCATATGACTGTGATGATATCCAGATGAAAAATTACTAGTTTATGCAGTCCTTGCACCAGGAAATCAGCATGCATTCTAGAAATACAGAAACATATTCCTGATGGAACTACAAACATCTTTAAGGCTATGTAAAGATCTATGGAGCTCCTATGTTCTATTATTTCATTTGATATAGTTCTAGTTTCTCTGTGTAATATCCTCCTCTAAGATAAACATTGCTCTTCACTCTTTCATTGATTAGATTTTAAAACTTCCAGGTTTAGACAATATTTTTTACCATTTGATTATAACATACGACAGTAAATGCCTGTTTTCTGGATTGCAAGAGTTTCCTTCACCAATCCAGATTACAATTTCATCAATCCAGATTACAACTCATGTCTCATGTTGGAGGATGAGATTTAAAAATTCCAGAATATTTTAGGCATGTGATTATATTGGCCCTTATACATACCGGACCAAATTTTAGCCAAGGCAGTTGGCTGATAGGGATGGACTGATAAATGGTATTTATCTGCCCAAATCAAGAGGTAGAACATCCAAAGCATTTGAGATGGAAAAATATCACAAATGCATGCCTCTCTGGGAATACAACAGAATCTAAATCAAATAAATGCTGCCTCTGATAATTATATCCAGATCGGTTCAAGTTATGTTATGAGAGGGATGGCGCTGTGATAAAAGCCACTTACAACAATGCAGTTTTCAAAGACTTTCTGCTGATGAACAACCAGAATGGAGGTATAATTGATGTTCTTTAATCCACAGTTTCAGAAAAAAAATAATCAAAATCTGTTCTTATACATAAATCTTTAAAAGGAATAAATGGGATAGCTCATCTTTAAGAGCAGTTTTAGAAACAAAGTACAAAGCAGCCCTCATTCACAAATGGAAAGAAGAAATTGTTCAACTTGTTAGCGGGTGATAGCTCAACCAGATTTGTTTTGATCTTGTAGAGAAATCAGATTGCATTGAATTCCATGGTTACAATGGAGACTGTCTGATCCACAGAATAGATGACTTCAATGTTGTGATTAGCGTCATGGGCCAGGCTCTGGACCTAAGAGTCTGAAGCTAAAGAAACTTTTCCAGATGAGCCTGTGGAATATCAGCCTCTGGAAGGACAAAGCCAGAGATCATCTGAGGCTGATCAATCATAAACACTACCTGAGCAGCTGGATCTGTCCAAGGAGGATGACCTAAGGCCTCCCAGTCCCTGTACTAGACCATCTAGAAAGGAGACCAGAAGAGGGAATCTAGTAGATTAATTGCCAGTAAACACGATCATGTCCTTGAAATTGACCAAAAAAGGGCATAACAAAAATATAACAGCAGCAGCAGCAGTAGCTAGATGTCAGCCAACCAAATGACTGCAAGTGGATATCAAGCCAGCCAAATTAATGTGATGAGCCAAGCAGACTATTATAGAGGTATTTTATCTCTTTCATGACAGAAAAAAAAATCCTCTATAAAACAAACTTCCATCTTCTCATATCACCCTCTATCAAATCAGAGACCTAATGGCGCCAACTAGTATTCTTCTACTCTATTATTTACTTAAATTATTGCAAATATAAACAGTTAGGGATAGGGATGCGTTTGAACTCATACTAAATATGGCATAGTAGTTTCAGGATTTTATAGAATTTTTCATTAGACCAAAACATTCATAGTACAGATAGATATTGCGAGCTACTGTTTTACATACAGAATAAATTGTGACAATCATTATGATTTACATATGACCGCTGACCCAAGAAAACATAGAGATGCCCTTTGCAATCTCTGCCTCTTCAACCTTCTAATCTGGATAAGAAGAATGTTTTATGATCCCAAGGCTACAATAGCTTTAATCTACAGATTTTAGAGAGTCTATTTTATATTCTGTCTTCCTCTCCCGGATCCAGGTCCGCCACAACTGTCCTTTATACAGCCCAGAGCATTGCAGGAATTCCGTATATTATAATACAATAATAACATACAATTTGAGAGACTGCCCTAGGAAAGTTAAATAGTTGCAGCTACAAGACTCAAATCCATTTCTTCTGCTGTAAAACACCGCTTACTTGTTATGGGGAAAGGAAAGGATGTGGGGTTTTTTTTTTCAAGAAACAAGAGCAGCAGCAGCAAATGCTGAATGGAAAATAGTGGAATTCCCAGCAATGCAGAAAACGTTAACGATTTAATATCAAAAGACCCCTTTTTTATGTTCACTAACCAGTTTAAAAAAAAACCCATTTTTAAAGCTATTGTTTAAAATAATTTGCGTTGGGGAAGGAAAACAACAACAATACAATGATAACAATAGGTGCATTTTATCTTAGAGGATTTCTGGCTACTAGAAAGAGCCTAGAAAGGTACAAGGCTGCAGTGCTGACATCAGATTAGAAAAAGGTCGCCAAAGCCAGGCCGCCGGAGAAAGCAGCCGCAGGAAGGTGATCCGCCCCTCTTCCCCGGGTCGCCCTCTTAGAGGGTGGCCGACTCGAGGGCGCTTGCGCAAGGCGAAAGTTGGGCGGGCTGGTGGGCGGAAAGTGAGGCGAGGTTTCTCTTTTCCAGCCGTGAAGCACAGGTGGCGCCCCGCCAGCTTCCCTTTTCCCCGGGAGGCTTCCACCGGGCCAACGCCAGCATGTCGGAGAGGCTCAGCAAGCCGACGTGCCTCATTGTGGCTAGCGCCGCTGCTGCAGGTGAGGCTGGTGGCTTTGGCCCTCCCCGCCCTCTTCTTTGGCTCTTCCGGGTGAGGGCGGCTGACCTGAGCGCTGAATAGAAAGGCGAGGCAAGGAAGTTGAGCGAATCGCCCCTGAAAGGCGTATATTGTCAGAGGCATCAGCCCCTTTCCCGCTGTGGTGTGTGTGTGTGGCTTGTCCACCCTTTGATACTCCACTCTGCGCATGGCTGGACGCAGGAGATGGAGAAGGCTATTCCCGGCAGCTTGATCGATACAGTAATGGCAGGGGAGTCTATCTGGCTGGGTCAGAGTGACGGGTCTTTAAGGCAAAAGATAAACTTTGCTTCAAGTGGAATTCAGCTTCTCGATTTACGTGGGCTGTTCCGTATAATGGTTCCTGACGGCAGCACGAAAGTTATTTGCCGCTGTTTCCTCCTGCCTGGATGACATTTCCAATGTAGTCTTCAGCCTTGAGATTTCTTGGTGGTCTCCCATCCACATATAAACTTGGCCTTTTCTTTGTCTTTAATCAGCCAAGGTCAAGTAGGGCTGCATCTCGTTAGGTGTCTGTTGTATTTTATGTGCTCATGATCAGCGTTCGATAGTTGCTATGCTGTAATTTCTACATAGTAATATTAACATGTTTTTATGGTCTCATAAACATGTTGTGCTTCAGCTCTCTTAAGCCCTAACTAGGCTTTCTGTTTTCTGCCTGAAAGAACCTAGAAATTACAGGGCTGTTGGGCTATTCATTGAAGCTTATTAGTGCTCTTGGTTGAATCTTCTATTTTACTTGATTTATGTATAGTATTTATATTATTTTTAAAATATACTTCCCTTCAGGAGCTCACCTAGCAGCCTTCAAAGAGAAAGGTGGTCTTCAATATAAGTCTCCCCATGGTACTCCAATAGCTTCATGTCTTCACTACATTACCTTTATCTATATGTACATATATGCTGTCTCTTTTTATATATATTCCTTCTTTTGTTACAGAACCTTTTCGTTTTTAATGACTCTCCTAATTATGGAATTTAGAGTTGTTCTCTGAAGTTGGTTAGCCTTAGCAAATTTTGCCTATTCTGTTTTTGTATGTTCAAGACCAAAATGAAAATGATCAAATGATTTTTTTTTTACTTTGAGGAATGTGAAGGCTATCAAGTATGCATGTTTAGTAAGAATAATCAGCGAATAGTAAGGTTTCCATATTTGCATTATAAAAAAAGTCAGGTGGCTTTTCCAGTATTTCTTTGTTGCTGTCTAGGTGACATCCAGGTTTTATTCCTCTAGATATGGTAGCCATTCCAATGTCCCCCCCCCATATATGAGAAGCTCCCACTACGCATATAATGTGCTTATTATATCTGTCCACCAGGTGTATCAGCTGATTCTTTCTTCCACTCTTTTACATTGGCTAGCTCTGCTTTTAATCTACAGGTTGCTACCCCAGGGGTAAGTAAATGTAAGTGTTCCATGTTAGTTTTATTAAGTAGGTGATGAAACAGATTCTTCCACAGGCAAGATGATTAAAAAAGAGGAAGCAAGTAGCTGTTACAGGAAATGATGGCCTTCAGAAATGGTCTTAAAATGGAATGTAATCAGAAATTGCAGTGTTCCAAACTAGGCACATACAGATAACATTGGCCTGCTTTTTGTGAAGTAGAAGAAAATAATTTTTATCCACCAGTCCTTTAGTAGATTTATTTTTCTCTTTTGTTTCCATATGCAATCTCCTAGTGAGGTCTCAAAATGCAGGAATGGGTAAACGCAATGTTTTATTAAAAAGCAACTAAGTCTAGCTAAGCTCTTTAAGAGTAGTGCACAAGTTGTAAATGTACAATATTTTGGGGACATGTTTGTGTGTATTGGCCAGCATTTCCATTTTGGATCATATGAAAAATGATGTCTTCATTTAGTACCAATAACACTGTTTTTACTTCATGGAGACAAGCTATTGCTTTTTTTCAAATATTTTTTGTTTCACTTAATGTTTATTCCAAAGGCTTATTATATGTAGATGCATTAATTGGGCTTTGCTGTTGTAGGGGAAGCCAATTGATTTTGTTGGGGTTAATGAAACAAATATGCGTTGGATCCAGGATTTCCGTATGAAATCCTACGCAAATCCAGCCAAGTTGGAATCAACAGATGGTGAGATATTTTTTGACTTGTGGCTGGGCGTATCTCCCTTTATTACCTACACAGTAAATGGTCTTTTCAATATCTGGATACAATTCCACCAGATATAACATTTTAAAATAAAGATAATTTAAATTGATAATCAAGTTGCCTTAAAGCTATTATTGTTCCATTTGCATTTTTAGGAGGAAAATATAAAGTTTGCTCTCAAAGCTTTGATTGTTTTTATAGTTCAGAGCCAATAGAAGCCATGGTTTCATATTTCCCCTTGGCATATTTTAGGAGTTTGTTTTCACCTTTAATCTAACCAATTTTACTTAATGGTTTCTTTAAATTATTATAATTGAGAGCAACTTACAGTCAAACTAGTTTCAGATTCTGTTTTGTTTCTGGAACAGCTAATACAGATTTGAGACATTAGGCAGTAGTTATGACGGGATGGGTGTAATGATTATATTTTTAAAGGATGGCTAATATATGAGCAGTGTTCCCTTTGCTTGTTTCCTCTCTGCCTTTCTCATAGATAACTAACTGCATGTATCCCGAAGGGCACTGAGCTTTTAGGAGCAAATAGGGGAGCAAATCAGTTTGTCCTGATAGCAGAAAAGTTGGGCAAATTGAATATACCTTTGGGATACATTGACCTTGTCCTGGGCTTGAACATTGTTTGGGAATACCGAGTGGGTTGCAGACAAGCTATTACCAAACAAGCTAGTTTAATTTAATTTAAACAATAATTTATAATTTTTATGTAATGGGACCTTCATATATTGCTATTGAAAGTTAGTAGCAAATAAGACGGGAGGAAATGCTTTAGGAGAGCACTGTCTTTTGAGTCATCTCTGCCTTCTCTGGTTTTGAATAATAGAACTCAGCTTTGCCTGTGCTTCCTGCCTAGGTGCAAGATACCATGCTTTGTTGATTCCTGACTGTCCTGGTGCTTTGACAGATCTAACAAACAGTGGCTACTTAGCTAGAATATTGCAGCATTTCAGTTCGGAGAACAGTAGGTAAACTTCCTTGGTGTTTTATGTGCTATTGTGTACATCGAGACACCATAGATAAGGAAGCATGTTGCAAAAAGTGATTAATGTATAAGATACACATATCATATTACCTTTAGTATTTCTTCTACTTTAACTCTAGTTAGTCCTTAAAAGATTTTGGACAATGTATCAGATATACAGATATTCCTAATTGTTAGGAATGCATGAAAAGAGTAGATTTGAATATGCATTGCTTATTCTGTTCTCATCAATATTGTACCTTCCTCTTGTTACCTTTTTGATCCCTTTCCCGGTTGCATTAAAAAAAAAACATTTAATAGGAAATAATAAACACTGCATTTATACAACATGTGATACACTGTTTTTGAAAGAAAGACCCATTTCAAAATAACATTTTCATAAAACCCTGAAGATTTGATATAAAGGTTTATTTTTTAATAGAGCCTATTTGTGCTATTGGAAATGGAGTGGCTGCCTTATGTTGTGCCACGAATGAAGACAAGTCTTGGGTGTTTCAAGAATACAGCTTAACAGGGGTAGGTATTGTATGCTGAAGGAAGAGTGCATTTTTCACAATAGATAGCTCTCTTGAAAACTATATGATGTAAAAACCTAAGTGATGTAAAATTAAGTTTCTTTGAATGAAACTATTTCCTGTAATTTCACAGATTTACCCGTGTAGAAGCTGTGTTTCCATTGTCTTATTTTTCTTGTTTTCAATGTCCTGGTCTAGCCTACAACCGTGGAATTTAATAATGGTCTCCGATCTGGTCTGATCCTGCTACATTTTTGGAAATAGATCAAGATTGCCAGATGCTGCTAAATATCCAGGCAATACGATGTAGCTTATTATTTTTGTTTTTCATATATGGCTGAATTTCTCATATTATAGTCACAGATCTTCCTCAAGATTTATGGTTTTTGCTGAAGCACATCCCATTTACTTGCATTCAATTTTATCACCACAAAAGAGTATACTTCCTTTTAAAAACTTTGAAATCTAGCTTTATATCCAAGAGATTCTCAAGTACGTTAGTAAAGTAATCCCAAGATAATCACATGCAGAGTATAAACACAGTTAAGCTACAATGGAACTGAATTAGTAATTGTTAGAGGAATGGTTTGCAACAGTAATGCATTTAATTCTGTATTTCATATAAAGTGATCCTGTCTGTATTCTCTTGATTAGGAACTGCTTTCTTGAATTATGTGAAGTTCTACCTAGTTCTGTAACCAACACGTGAATCTTTCTGCATAGATTTCACTATAATACAATGTTACTGCTATCATTTTGTTTCTTCCAGCCTTCTGTCTATGAACTTGTAAGACTTCCTAGTTTTGCTAGTTTACCAATTATTGTTGAAGATTTTTCAAAAGATGCTGGAGCTACTTTCAGTGGTATGTCATTTTAATATTTTCTGCTGACATAGATTTTTATTAATACTTGTTAAAATCAACATATATGTAGAATCAAATAATTTTGTGAACACATTAAAGTAGAAAATATTGTGTAGTAATTACAGTATTTATAGGAATTTAAAGTGTGGCTGACTAGGATTTCTTTTTACATACCTTGTGATCTTAAGAATGCAGTACAGCAAGACAATTGTGGTTTTCTCAAGGCTATAGAAACTACTTTGACTTGGTTGCCCACCTGATTAATAGCATCAAATTTGCAGCACTGTGGTCATAGCAATGAATAGTTATACCACTCTCTCCCCCCCCCCATTAAAAAGCTTTAAGAGATGCATTTTTCCTAAATTAGGAAACTAAACTTCAAACAATGCTGTTGCTGATTAATAGCAAAGTGTGCAATGTAGCAGTCTCAAAATAATAGCACTTAGCAATAGCACTTAGACTTATGTACTGCTTCATGGTGCTTTACAACCCCCTCTAAGCAGTTTACAGAGTCGGCATATTGCCCCCAACAATCTGGCTCTTCATTTTACCGACCTCGGAAGGATGGAAAGCTGAGTCAACCTTGAGCTGGTAAGGATCAAACTGCACAATTGCTGGCAGCCAGGAGTCAACAAAAGTAGCCTGCAGTACTGCGTTCTAACCACTGTGCCACCAGGGCTTATAACTAGCATCACACTAGCATCAACTTGCTTTCCTGGTGCTGAAATGTAATAGAACGGCAATGTGTTATAGAATGTGTTGTAGAATGGCAATCTGCAGCAAGAATTGCAATCTGCAGTAAGAACTGCATAGCTACTCTTGAACTAGGCATCATTCGTTAGACTTACAGAGCTTCCCCTCTATTAGAGGTAACCTAGGCAAATGAAGCAGCAAAGCTATGGCAAAGTTAGGGTGTCAAGACATGTTCAATTTGCCATGGCTACAGCTGCTCCTTCCTACAGCTTTAGAAGCATGACTTTACAACAGATGGGCAGGACAAAGTGCCATCCAAGCCAGAGTTGGGACCTCCTCCCATTGCCACTGCTGCATCTCTACTTTCCTGTAGCTTTAGACTTCAACTCCCAGAATTCCTCAGCCAGCATGCTGGATGAGGAATTCTGGGAGTCGGAAACCCACCTAAGACTGCCAAGTTTGAAAAACACCGCTATAGAATGAAAAGTATGGCTTCATGCCTCATTGTAGAGCCCTGTCTTGTCACAGATCTGTACTTCATTTTTTTTTATCAGCCTAAAGATTACCAGGGTGATACTCTATCCCAGACCTGTCAAACTCGCGATGTTACGGAACTTTTTCCCCATTGCTGGCAATGGGGTGGGCGCAGTTTCCTCATGACGTGTCCGGCTCGTGGGCCGGCAGTTTGACAACCCTGCTCTATTCTACCATGTAGTGTATGAGGTACAAACCACACAAAATAAGGTGGAGAGCTGCATGCACACTGCAAGTTTGAAATCCTGGTTTAGATAATACCATATGTGAAATGAACTTTAACATGTGATGGTCATTTGTCTTGTCCTTCTTTATCTGCAAGAGAAGGAAGTGGTAGCCAACCAGGATATTGACTTTTCCTCCTTTTTCATTATGTTGAGAAAGCCCAAGACTTATCTTGGCTCAACCTTATCCCTCTAACTTTCTAAAGGCCTTTTAGAAAGTCTTCAAACCTTCTAAATCCAGGTTTGAGCCAAGGCTGTTAAACATGAATACCTACATCTTACCAATGCAGGATTCAATTGTGAATTTCACACATTGTAAAGAAAGAAAAGTAAGCAAAACAAAATATTTTCTTATTAATTTAAAAAAAATAGGTAACATTTTCCTTAGGTTTTTGAAAAATGATACATCATTACAAGCGTAAATTAAGGTGTGAATATACATTTCCACCGCAGCCAGCAAGGTAGATGCAGTTCATGTCGTGCTTGACAGACACCTTGTCACTGGACAAAATGAAAATTCTACTGTGGCAGCTGTACAGAATCTTATTTTTCTCTGCAATGGCAGGTAAGAAAACGCAGGTGACATTACTAATAAAATACAGAATTTTTGCTTTTGCAAATGCATCCCTGCATCCCTGTAATCAGCTTTGATAATTTGTGCCAGCATTCTCCACCCCTACCTTGAAATAGAGTCAATTTGAAGTTGTTGCTAGAAATTTGTCAATTTGAGGTTGTTGCTAGAATAAAAGGTGGTATTCTCAAACACTTTATTCCTTAAATGTATCAAATGGAAATCTTTCTATACTGATTAATTCAATATAATGTTTCTTTCAGCAGAAAATGATGGAAATATCCCTGTGACTGAGCAGAATAAATGAACATGGAAGAATTATTTGACTTGTGAAAATTGCTAACCTTTCATTTATCAACCAATAGAGAACACAGCTGATTTCTAAAGGTGGCATTTTGTAGCTCAAGAACAAATAATATTCTTAAATCTATATAGTAAGGCTTGCCTGTTATCAGATGTGACAGTATTCATAGACATTCATTGTTTGTATGAGTATAAGAATAATATATTTTCTCCTACCTCGCACTTTCATAAACTAAGGATAAATTGATTTGAAAGATTTCAGTTATAGTTCCCTGTGTTTCTGAACTTCCATCAACTGTAGTCTGTTTAAATCATTTCTTCTTAGCTAAGTTTCCCATTTTGCTTGATCTGGCAAAACCAGTGTAAGATATGGGCTGAATAAGTAATCTGATAAATCAAGGCTGAATCTATTAGCTCCACGTTATCATTTCAGATTGTGAATTAAGTTTCAAGCTATGGGATTATGAAGTGACTTTCTCTTTTCATATATAGGAATACATGTTGTAAAGTTTACAATGAGAGATATTAGTGATATTACTAATAACAAGTGAACTTCAAAAAAAGGAACAATTAACTGTAAAAATAATTTTAAAATGGGATAGGTTAACTTTATTTAATGAGTTAGTGTTTTCCATGTGTTCATTCGTTGTAGCATGACAATAGCGGTTCATTTATTTTGCTTACTATAGAAAGCTTTTGATTGATTAAATTTTTACTTCAGTTTTGTTTGTGTTGTGTAATTTCATGATAGTGATTAACCATATTTGTGAATATAATTTTTCATTTTATTCTTGAACTAAGTCATTGATAATGTGAAGGATTCGCACTAGCTTATTAATTATATTCAAGTTGTAGGTTGTAGAACTTATTTGTTAATAAGTACCCTGTTAATAGTACCCTGCTTGCATAGATTATGTACAGCACAATTTTGACTCAAGACTGAAGAAGTACTTGAGATTTTCCTGCAAACTACAGTTTGAGAATCAAGGGTTAGATTCATATAATAGACTAAATAGCACACCAGCCAACCCCTATAGTCTAGTGTGAATCTATTCCATATGGTTACCTTAAAGATTGTGTAAAATCAGACAGTTTGGTTGGGTAATGCAGACAGTCATAGAATAGTTTTACTGCAGCACAGGAACCAGAGGAAGGATGCATTCCATTATTTTTTTTTAAAAAAAGCAGACTACTTTGTCCAGTGCATTTGCGTGCAACACCAAAAGAAAAGCAACTTTTCTAGAATTACAAAACTTAAAAAGTTTCAATAGTACTTAAGCTCTGGTTTTTTTAGATTCCCTTATAATACCCACCAATAAGAAAAGAACAGGTAGCCGAGGATTGAACTGTGGATTCATCCAGAACAGTGCTCAATACTGATGTTACTTAGTCAGATAATGAAACATCTGCAAGCAAACAACCACATTCAGAGTAAAGGTTCCAGTGTATAATAGTCAAGGTTTGCATTTTGTAGAAATTGCCTCATTGTTAGGGGGGAAAAAACAAGTTAGAGGAGGTTACTGATGTATTTACTCCCAAGTTGCTATCAGTAGTACTTTAAAGCTACTCAGAACACCTCTTCCTTACATAAAAAGAATATTGTCAGTTAATAAAGCAGTATAAAAGTTGGAATTAAGATTGCCAGGAGAAATATCAACAACCTAAGATATGCAGATGATACCACTCTAATGGCAGAAAGTGAAGAGGAACTAAAGAGCCTCTTGATGCGGGTGAAGAAGGAGAGTGCAAAAGTTGGCTTGAAACTCAACATTAAGAAAACCAAAATCATGGCATCCGGCCCTCTCAATTCCTGGCAAATAGATGGGGAAGAAATGGAGGTAGTGACAGATTTTATTTTTCTGGGCTCCAAGATCACCTCAGATGGGGACTGCAGCCAAGAAATTAAAAGACGCTTGCTCCTGGGGAGGAAAGCTATGGCAAATCTAGACAGCATACTAAAAAGCAGAGACATCACCCTGCCAACAAAAGTGCGTATAGTCCAGGCCATGGTTTTCCCAGTTGCAATGTATGGCTGTGAAAGTTGGACCATAAGAAAGGCTGAGCGCCAAAGAATTGAGGCCTTTGAACTATAGTGCTGGAGAAGACTCCTGCGAGTCCCTTGGACTGCAAGGCGTTCAAACCAGTCAGTCCTAGAAGAGATCAACCCCGACTGCTCTTTAGAAGGCCAGATCCTGAAGTTGAAACTCAAGTACTTTGGCCACCTAATGAGAAGGAAGGATTCACTGGAGAAGAGCCTAATGCTGGGAAAGATTGAGGGCAATAGAAGAAGGGGACGACAGAGAATGAGATGGCTGGATGAAGTCACTGAAGCAGTAGGTGTGAATTTAAATGGACTCCAGAAGATGGTAGAGGACTGGAAGACCTGGAGGAACGTTGTCCATGGGGTCGCGATGGGTCGGACACGACTTCGCAATTAACAACAACAAAAAAGCAGTATAAAAATATATGGACACAATCTACATTCAGATTATGATGGGAAAATAGAAGTGCTTAATGAAATACATGAATTCTTTCTTAGATACCACCACTATACTTGTTCCTGAGATGCTTCCCCCTCCCCAAAGGCAACCAGACTGACTTTGTTTTTCCATGAAGACATTTTGCTTCTTATCTAAGAAGTTTCTTCAGTTCTTACTGAATGGTGGGAAATGAAAGGATTTAGATTCCTTGCAGTCATCTGATCATCTGGTCACCACTATACTTTTAAATCAGAACTATGCCAAACTGCGATCTCCTCCCAAGTACTGCCCTTGAAAGTCTGACAGGGTTTGATCCAAAGAAATAGTGTACTATTAATGGCCATTGGAAAAGAGCTTTGCTACTGTTTGAAACTCCCATTTAAAATGGGGAAAGATACTGAAGATGTTCAGTGCAGCTGCAACAATGCCTCAGATTCTGAGAAAAGCAATATCGGTTTAAAGTTTAGGCATGTGGGCAAAGAAGCAGACAGGAGTATGACCGTCCTAGGCCAAAATATCACTTAGCATCGAAACCCTAGTTAGAGATTTGGAGATCACAAATCAGAGACAAACAAAGCTGCTCTATCTTGGGCAAAGGAAGCAGCACAGTGGCAACAACAGCTGGAGAAGGAGACTGCATTATAATTTAGATTTATATCCCATCTTTTGTTTGTACAATTCAAGCTTTTCCATATTTCTTCCTCCTATTTTTCCACCACAATAACCCCGTGAGACATAATTCATTCTACAAGAATAGGAGGGAAGCTCCTCATAATTCTAAGAATGGAATGTTTATAAAACATGCTTGTTAAAATCTTATAGTAATTTTGTTTGTAAAAATAACATGTACACATCCTTCAAACGGAGGACTTGCCTCAACAGGAGTCAAGAAATCTGTATAAAATGTATGTTTTATTCTTTTGGAATGCACCCATACATCAGAATGTTGTATCATTATTAGTAATAGTACCTTGAAGAAAAAAAGCTAGGCAATTGGTCCTTGATGTATCTGCAATATAGTGAAGAATAAAAATATTGGTAATACAGAATTGTAATATTACAATCCTGATATATAAAAGCACAGCAGATCTGAAGAATTTTTCTCTGCAAATTCATATAGAAACCTGTGACTACAGAAAATCTTTTTGTTTGCAGCATGTAAATCTTTACATATATATAGCATCCATAAAATTTGGCATGTCTACTTTCCATTTGCAGTACCGAACATCCGTTCCTAAAAAAGGAGAAAAAAATATAAAAATTAACAGGCACATTGGTTGCAGATGTTTTAAGAAATCATTGCCATTTAATGTACAAGAAGAGATACAATTTCATTTTGATATTTTCTTTGAGTTCAAAAGAGGAGCATTTAAGATTTTTTTTAAAAAATTCATTAAATGTTGAAAATCCATGTGCTAGTTTTGAACGTCACATGTGAACATCTACCAATCCAATGTTAATATAAACATTTTAAAAATATCCAATTTATAAACTTTAGCACTGTTAAGATACTTAAATTTAGGAAGTTTAACTTATCAAAGTTATTTCAGATTTATAAAAGAAAAGCACAATAGTATAACCCTAGGATCTGCTATGTAAGAATTTACGGTGATTAGTTTTAAAGTGCATTTAATTCTAAATGGAAAATAAATAAAATCCATAATAATAAATGGATTATGGGATCAACAGCCTAATTACAAAATAATGCACTTATACTTTAAATCTCTTCACCGATAATTTGCTATTCAATTGATTTTATACTTTATATTTAACATTAGTATCATGTATGAAAACATGCAACACAAAATACAAATAAACTCAGGTTGACATTTACATCTGCAATACTTGTGAAATGTACCATTTGAAGGAACTTTGGAAATATATTTAGCGAGATAAGAGACCCTTAATTTTTACCTTTATCATGACTTCCAGTTTAACTGCATCAGCAGCAAACTTTCTGATTCCATCTGACAGTTTCTCCTCAGCCATTTGGTCTTCATTATGAAGCCAACGGAATGTCTTTTCATCCAGATGGATCTTCTCGAAGTCAGATGCCTGAGCTGCATTGAAGATGATAGAAGTAACAAATTATGGGAGTAGGCAATGGTATACTTTATTATTATACTAATGGTACAGTTATCACAGGGAATCCTGAATCTCAACATCTTACAGAAACCATTCAGTTAACTAATATGTGGGTATTGATATTATCCTTTGAGTGCCATAGTAAAAGTCTTACATATTCCTGAATAGTAAATATATATATAAAAAATGCTGATGTATCTCTTTGAGACATTCTTTTTTTCAAAAAAATGACCTTATCTATTGAGTACTGAAAGGATTAACAGTTACACATATACAGCCCTCTGTAAATATTTAAGTCAACTTAAATCTTACGCATTGAGAGGATGTGGTAAAAGAGCATTGTTAAACTTTTTTATTGAGCGGTTCTTAACCTTTTTGAACGAATCGCCCCCTTGAGCCAATGAGGAAGTTGTCATCGCCCCCCTCCCCCAACATAACTTCTCAATCACAACATAGGAAATAATTCTTCAATTTATGCAAACACTTTTTTTGTTTTCTTTAAAATTGTCATCAGGACATATGATGCAAATAATTTATTTCCAGTCCTTTTCCCATATCTCAACTGTGTGAAAAATTTTGGTGCCACCCGTCACTTTATTCCCAAACTTCGTGATACATGTATTTCATTATTATCTTATTTATTCAAGACACTTAAATGTAATGACCATTGAAAACAAAATTCAGCTGCAAGAAAGTGAAATGCCCGAAAAGAAAAACAGTAACATTTAATGATTGAATTACAAGTGAAATTAATATGCAAAAAGAAATATAAAAAGGGCATAAGAACAAACCGCAATGCAGGAACTAAGAATTTCAAGACGAAAACTCTGAAACTAAATTAAGATTCAAGGAAAGTATATATAATCACGCACACTGTAAAAAGGATTAAAAAGTCACAAAGAAAATATAATATCGAACTGGAGTGCATGTTAAAAAAGTACAATACAAAGAGACACACAAAACAGCATGCAATGTTTAGAAAGAAGCACTCCCCCCTCCATCACTGCCCATTCTAGCCAATGGTGAGCCACTGTATGGGTAGAGCAGGGGTAAGCAACCCAAAACACTCAAAGAGCCACTTGGACCCGTTTCCCACCGAAAACAAAACACTGGGAGCCGCAAAACCCTTTTGACATCTAAAATGAAGATAACACTGCATATATCCTTTTTTACCTTTATTATATATATATCTTCAGTGTTATCTTCATTTTAGATGTCAAAAGGGTCTCTCTCTCTCTCTCTCTCTCTCTCCCTCCCTCTTTCTGCCCTTGGTCTGCCAGTCCTCTTCCCCCACTCAGTGTGTGTGTGTGTGTGAGAGAGAGAGAGAAAGGGGGGGGGGAGAGGCACTTGCGCTTTCTCTCTTTCTCTTTCCCCTCTCCCTCTCTCTTTCCTCTCCCTCCCTCCCCCTTCTTTCTCCAGGTGAGGAGGGGGGGGGAGAGAGGCACTTGCGCTTTCTCTCTCCTCTCTTTCTCTCTTTTTCTCTTTCCCCTCTCCCTCTCTCTTTCCTCTCCCTCCCTCCCCCCTTCTTTCTCCAGATGAAGAGAAAGAGAGGGGGGAGAGAGAGGCACTTGCGCTTCCTTTCTTTCCTCTTTCTCTTTCCCCTCTCCCTCTCTCTTTCTCTCTTTCCTCTCCCTCCCTCCCCCTTTTTTCTCCAGGTGAGGAGAAAGAAAGAAAGAGAGAGAGAGAGAGAGAGAGAGAGAGAATGAAAGACAGAGGGCACCGACGGGGCGGGGAGGGGGGGCAGGAGGCAGCAGAAGACCCCGTCACTGCTGGAGGCACCTAGCTTCGCTGCCCGCCGGGCCTGCAGGGCCGCCCCGGCTCACGGTCACGTTGGCAGGCCGTCCCACGTGCCGCTGCGTCCCTGAGCTCAAGTTGGGGCCACGGGGCATCTGCAGAATACCCCGCCCATCGGCTGCATCACCAAGCCTCCCCTTGCGCCGCCAGCATCCCCGGGCTTAACTCGCAGGGCATCTGCAGAACACCCCCATCAGCTGCTGGAGGAGCTGGGGCCGCTCCGCAACACACGACACTCCCGGCCATCTGCGACCCACCAGCATTGCCCAGGGAGCGATGCCCCCGCCGGCCACCACCCCAGCCAGGACTGCTGCCCGGGGGACAACAGGAGGAAGGGGAGGAGGAGGAGGGCAAGGAAGCCGGCACCGGACCCCAGGAGGAGGCGTTCCTGCGGGTCTGGTTGGAAAATGCCTCCCCCTCCCTTTTTCTCCCCCCCCCCATCTTCTACTCACCTCTCAAAGCAGCCATGACTCTGGCACACCTTCCCGGCCAGCTGGGCTAAGTCCCATGGCTGGGGATCGCAGGGGCAGCTCTCCCTCAGGGCCGCGGCTTGCAGGAAGGCTGGCCCGCTAGGCTGAGGCTCTGGTGGGCTGCTCCCAGCGAGGATCCTGGGGATCCCCTACGCGGTTCCCCGGCCATGTGCACCTGGTACAGGGCCAGCCAGGGAAATGGACTTCCTGGCTGCGCTTGTCCCAGGAGGCGGGGCACCCGGACTCAGGGCCAACCAGGAGCCCTGTGAGGGAGCAAATCCGCATCAGAGAGAGAGAGAGAGAAAGAGAGAGAGAGAGAGAGAAGCACAAGTGCCTCTCTCTCTCTATCTCTCTCTCCAAATGGCGGAGGAGGCTCAGAGCCGCAGGGGCAGGCTCAAAAATATCTCCAAAACTTCTTGCTCCATTGCCCCCATATCGCCCCTTTTCGTTCCTTCGCCCCCCATATCGCCCCTTTTCATTCCATCGTCCCCCTGAAAAATGAAATCACCCCCTGGGGGGGAGGCGATATCGCCCAGGTTAAGAACCACTGGTCTACCCTACATATTAGTAAGACAGAAAATTTACCATCTTTGACGTTCAGCTTTGGTGTTAGCTTGCTGTTATCTTTACTGAGCTCTCCCAGAAGTTTAGGTGAAATGGTGAGAAAATCACAGCCAGTCAGTGCTTTGATTTCTCCAGTGTTCCGAAAAGAAGCTCCCATTACAATAGTTTTATAGCCAAACTTTTTGTAATAATGATAGATTTTAGTGACACTCTTTACCCCTAAAAGAGAATATAAGGTAACTATTTAAAGCAATTACTACTTTATTCAGAGGTAAAGAAACTCTCAGAATAGCTTATTTTCTAATACTAAATATTTCAGGTTGATTCAATTACAAACTTAATTTCTTAGCCACATTTATTCAGTTACCTGGGTCCTCTGATGGCTCATAGGTTTTTTTGTCTGTATTTGCAACATACCAATCCAGAATACGCCCAACAAAAGGAGAAATGAGGGTGACCCCTGCTTCTGCACAAGCAACTGCCTGAGCAAAGGAAAAGAGCAAGGTCATATTACAATGAATCCCATGTTGCTCTTCAAGGATCCTGTAAGATAAAACAGACCAGAATTATTTTTCCTATCAGTATCACTTCTGTTATATATGCAATTTTATTAAATACATTATATACAATTTTATTTTGAACCGCGTTACTTTTTAAAAAATGTCTTCTCAGTGAGTCAGGACCCTTTGTTTTCTTTGTGGTTAGTGGGATATGGGCAATATGTTATGCTAGCTTGCAAAGTGGTCTCTGCGTTATAGATCCTAGCTTTCATAGAATAGTATAAGCACAATTGGAATAAAATAGAATTTCAGTTTTGCTTGTGGCATACAGAGTAAAACATGCCAAGATGAACTGGTATTATACATATCATTAGGAGGAAAGGCTCCTTGTGACGTGGATGTGACTACTACTCCTCTCTCTCTTATTAAAAAGTGTTCTATGAAAGCTTTGACTGATGAAACATGATGGGGATCATAATCTATGGTCTCATCTAATGATGATCTCAGCATATGGAAATTGCAACTCAGACTGTAATGTGATCCAGGAAGGAATAAATGTGATCCTGCAAGGGAAATTATTCTGTTAGTCAACATGAATGGATGAGTAAGAATATAAAAGATACATGAAAATTGAGTTAGCAACAAATTAGAATGAGTACTTTGTCAGTAGCTACTTAGAAAAACATCTCCTAGTTTTGAGCATATTGTTTAAACACATCTGTTCATCTGTTCAAATGGCAAAAGAAGAAATTTTAATCTGAAATATTTATTTATTTATTTGCTTATTTATAAGATTGAAAGAATCAGTTAAGGATGCAAAAGTAATAAGGAAATTCTGAATGTAGATAAAATACTTTTTGGGTAACGTCAACAGTGAATCTTGGGAAAATGGACATGGAAGAAAAGGAAAGAAGGAAATAAATAAGAGAAAACTATAAAACAACTAAAAGAAGCCATACAAGATTGGAAAACATGGAGAGAACCGGTCTGTAGAATTGCCGAGAATCAGAACTGACTGAATAGACAGCATCATCATACATACTGAATTAATGTAAATCAGGCAACCCCTCTCAAAACTATTACGAAAAAAGCTGTTGACACTTGTGATTTCCAAGTCTTTATAATGGAAAAATAAAGAGGTTTGTGGTTTTAAATAATTTTAAAGTCTTAGCTTAAACTGCAAATAAGGGTTTTTCCCCCCTTCAGCTCACCTAATCAAGGTCCAAAACCTTTAACAATAGGTGTACAGACATACAGAACTATACATCTGATATATAGAACTATATTGAACTGGAAACCTATATTGGTACCCTGGTTGTTCAGCACACCCAGGAGGAAACAACAGAAAGTACTCACTCCCCACACAGCAGGAGCTTGATTGTCAGGATAGCTGCTTCTGTACCCACTACCACAACTTATCCCCAGCACCAAACTGACAGGCCCCACTGGGCCTTGATATGCAGCAAGACTGCAGCTGCCTGTTGGCTTGTCACGCCATGTCGTCTTCTTAAGGGGTGGGGGCAGGGGCGGAAGGGTTTTGTAGCTTTGGTCCAATATTGGCATTCTGCTGTCCTGTGTCTGGTCATTTCTCTCTTGTTATGTTGGGTGAGGAGTGGACTGCATAAAATGACCTGGGAGGCTTTAAGTTTGAGGCTTCTGATGTAGCATGTTGCAAGAAATAAATGTATCTTAAAAGAAATAAAAATGGCTGTGTTTAACTGCATGTTTTTCTGCCACGTTTGTTAAATGGAAATGAAAACTGGCTATATTGGAGGAAACCTAAAAGATGAATGTAATCAGAATAAGCTATTTTAAGAAGTATGTATGGTAAAAATAGACAAGTTGGGGTCAAGGCAGAAATTCCTATGCAGAAAGTGACAAACGGAATATTAAATAGCCATCAAATAAGTCTTATATTATCGTTCCTGGTATACTTACTTGCCAGCTTGGATACCTTCCCAAGTTGATGACAGCTTGATGAGTATACGATCTTTGCTAATTCCTATTTCTTTATAAAGATCTATGAAGTGTCTGGCTCTCTTAACCATGCCTTCTTTATCAAAAGACAACCTTTAAAATAAAAAAGATACATTTTTTTGTTTCATTATAATTTGTGTAAACTATACTCAAAAGGGCAAATATGCAAAGATACGGGATGCAACATTCATGTTTTTCTATACTACTTGCCACACCTCAGTCCTCTGCTTAAGAAGTCAATATCATTAGACAAGAACACCATTAAAATTGGCAGCTTCGCAGTATCTATTTATCACCTGCCATTTCTACTAGTTCTGCATTAATTGTCTTAAACATTACACCCTATCAAATAAAATAATCTGAATAACATTAAAGAAACACAAATACCGTTAAGAAAATCGATATCTTAAGAACAGGACAACAAGGCCTTTCTAAACAAGATCTTCAGCGGGAAGCCTGAAGAGAAACCATGAATGGTAAGCTAAACAAAAGACTCCAGTACATAGATGCAAATAACAGGAAGGCCATCTCTCTAATCCATGCAAGAGAGACTAACTGGCTTAACAGAACAAAAGAGGCTTTGGGCTACAGTGGTTGGAGCCACTTGGGTATGTGTTGTGTTGTGTTGACCGCATCTGCCATCTGTTTCTGTTTTTTGCTATATTTTTACCTGAATTGTATATTTGTTGTTTTTATGCTGTGAGCCACTTATGAGTCATACCTTTATCGATATCTTCACAGGCTCACATAGAATGTTATGAGAGCCAATTTACGAAGTTAGACTAGAACAGTGATTCTCAACCTTTCTAATGCCGTGACCCCATAATACAGTTCCCCATGTTGTGGTGACCCCCAAGTGGGTGTGGCCACCAATAAGAGGGAGTAGGACAGCTAGGGAAAAAGGAAAAAAATGGCGGACAGCATGGTTTGGTGACCCCCGTGAAATGGTCATTCGACCCCAAATGGGGTCCCGACCCACAGGTTGAGAACCACTGGACTAGAAGTAGAGAGACCCACATTCAAGTCCATCTTCAGGCTCAGGTGTTCTTGATCAGATAATCAGCTCAGCCTAGCTCATAGGTTGTTTTTCTTATGGGAAAAATAAGACAGGGGATGCATGCCGCTTTGATTTCCTGAAGTACAGTCTGGATATCAGTCAATCACTCAAACAAATATAATATAGGAGCCGTAGTGGGGCAATGGTTAGAATGCAGTATTGCAGGCTAACTCACTGCACTGCCAGGAGTTCAATTCTGACTGGCTCAAAGTTCACTCAACCTTCCATCCTTCTGAGGTCGGAAAAATGAGGACCCAGATTATTGGGGGCCATATGCTGGCTCTGTAAGCCACTTAGAGAGGGCTGTTAAAGCACTATGAAGCAGTATATGAGTGTAATTGCTATTGCTATATTTGATGAATTCAGAAAATACTCACCTTGCATCTACTTCTGTGGACACACGGCCAGGTATCCTCTTCAGTATTTCTGCCCCAAATAGTACAAAAAGCTTATCACAAGCATTTGTAACTTGTTCATTTTCTGACCTGGAATTGTATAATAACCAAAGTAGAAGTTTATGTACTGAGGAAAAAAATGTGCTAATGTGACATCTAAAAAAAATAAATGAGTCAAATTGGAACAGTAATATGAATTCTTTGCACGATGTTCTGAACTTTAGAAACAGTTTAATGCAGTGGTTAAGATTCCAGACTAGAACACAGGAGACCATAAGTTCTAGTCCTGCCTTAAAGCACAAAGCCAGCTGGGGGACATTAAGCCAGTCACCCTCTCAGCCCCAGGAAGGAGGCAATGGAAAACCACTTCTGAAATCTTACCTAGAAAACCATAGGGACTTGTCCAACCAGTTGCTATTAGTCATCACTGACTCAAAGGTGTGCACGTGTACATATACATACATCCTGAGGTTTATCAACATTAATCTAATGGGTCAAACTTGACTGATGCTCTATTTAAACCTCTGACTCATTCTCTAGTGCTGCATTTGAGCCAACTATTTCTTTCCTCCTTCTTCCATGAGAAAGAACTGGGAGTGGCTGTTAGTCTGCAGAAGGGCTTTGACTTCCTCTATTCTGCCATTATTTAATTTCTTGATCCCGGTTTAAGTCTAACAGTATCTTATGTGAAGATGAAAGGCAACAGAGAGGACACATACTGATAATACCAACTAAGTGTCACAGCTGCAAAATTAGAACATTGGCAAGCTTACTTACCCACCAAGTTTCTTTCCATACGCAATAGCATCTTCTACCAGTTGCTGATAGGTTGGCATCTGAGCTGCAGCTAGTATCAGGGATGGGTTGGTAGTAGCATCTAGAGGCTTGTACTCTTCAATAGCTGAAGAAAAGCAGAAAACAAGAATAAAAAAGTTGGGGGGATGGATGTTAGCCTCTCAGCTTGATAAAAATTAAAGGGTATGCAATAAGATGGAGCAATGTAATTAATGTAGTTATTCCGGTGCTAGAAATTATGTCCACATATAATATGATTGAGAATGAATAATTAACAAAAGACAAATACTGTACAATTCTTAGTAAAATTAATAGCTAGGTAGGGTATATAATTCAGAGAGTCATTCAAAGTCATATAGAAAGTTGATGTTAGGAAGGCTGTTCTCGCTAACGTCTTTCTTGCTGTGTCCTGTGTTGATTAACATGATTTTTTGCCATTCCACTGTGCAAACAAATTTCAATACACTGTACAGAGACAATCCGTTAAATGAAATCAGTCTAAAAATGGCAACGTAACAACAGAAAAAAATAATAATCTGGAAAAACATGGTATATCCTTGGCACCAAAGTGAAAAGGCAAATTCAAGTTAGTGTCAGTAAGAACACTACAAATAAGACTTCCCTCATAAAAAGGCTCTTTAGTAAAGTGAGCTACACCATCAAACCCAGATCTACAATATTTGAATTGAACTCAGTGTGTGTTAATTAAAACAATGAAAATATAGTTCAGGGGTAGGCAACCTTGGCTCTTTTATGACTCGTGGACTTCAACTCCCAGAATTCCTGAGCCAGCATGGTTGAAGTCCACGAGTCATAAAAGAGCCAAGGTTGCGAAAACCTCATTTTATATATATAATGACAGGCAGTCCTTGAGTTAAGACAACTGAGCCCAAAATTTATGTTGCTAAGTGAAACATTTGTTAAGTGAGTTTTGCCCCATTTTATAAATTTTCTTGCCACAGTTGTAAAGTGAATCACTGCAGTTATTAAGTTAGTAACATGGTTGCTAAGTGAACCTGGCCTCCCCATTGACTTTGCTGGTCAGAAGGTCACAAAAGCTGATCACATGACCTTGGGACACTTCTACGGTCATAAGTATGAGTTGACAAATGGTTGTAAGTGTGAAAAACGGTCATACGTCATTTTTTTTCAGTGACGTAACTTCACTAAATGAACTGTTGTAAGTAGAGGACTACCTGTATTGCCATCGCCACATTTGAAGGGTGACTCAAATAATTTGCAAGAAAATCTACCAAAAGTAGAATACCTGTCTATGTAGGACAATGCACATGCACTGTAATATAGAAACCACTGTTCTTGAACTGGATGTCTAAGTACATTCAATTTTTTTAAAATTCCAAATTGCTACATATACAGGCTAAAAAATTGTGCTTTTCAGGGTGAAATTCCCTGTAGGTGTTTTTGAACATACATATGCTGGCAATCATCTCTAATTACTTAAGGACATGCCATACCAAAGTTCTTTGCAAAGTTACACAAGTGGCATCACAGAAATACAACATAGCCCTATGATATTCTTAAATATATTGTGCAATATTTCTATAGAAAATTTACAAAGTATTTTTACAACAAATATTTAACACATACATGCACATACACAGGGTAATTTCCTGCTCTGCAAGTTTTATTTGCAAATTAAAAAGGGGGTTTTCTTGTCAAAATCTGCTAACTCATAGCCCATCAGCAAGATTCCATCACCAGTTAAGCAACAGGAAGGAGAAATGTCTTTCATAAGACCATTTACAAAATAGTTAATATTTTGTGTTAGGTCAGATTCTCTGAGCAACTTTTACTCTGAGAAATGACTACTATCCATTTATATTATACATTGACCATCTAAACAACAGATCAAGATGTATTAAATTTTGCAAGCAGTACTATTTTCTGCAATTATATAGCCTACAGTAATGGTAGAATACATAAGGGTTTGTAAATAGATGAGTTTACTATGCAAGCAGATTTTTAATAGAAAAGCATTTTTTCAGATATTATGATTCTCTTAAAAGTCCAACCATTAAATTCATGAAGAATTAAGCCAGGATTTAAAAAGATCAATAGGCACGTCCTCTAGAAAAACATAAATATCAATTACTTGCAAAATTATGCAGACTAATTGGTAAGAGAGTTAAATTGAGAGTTTAAAAGATTATCTGAAATATTTTTAAAAAGTATACAATGTTTTAATAATTGTCAAAACACTCCCTGGAATTGGACAGCAGATACATTTAATAAATTATCACTTATCCATACTGTGAGTTACTTTTGCCTTTGCATAAATAACATTTTATAAATGGCTTATATCACTCCACAATAGCAGAGGTGGGGCGTTTTTAATATCTGCTCCTTGCGGAAAGGAATACTGAACACTGTGAAAAATGCTACAGGTTAATGAAATGTATACTTTTTTAAAGCCTTGCGTTTAGAATGAGTCAAGTTCCTTAATTATCCCTAGACTCAAATTGTGGGTAATGGCAACAAAATACAGCAATAGCATTAAGACTTGACCTACACATATTGTATTTCTCCCCCCCCCCCAGGCACAGAAGCTAGATCGATTAATCCATATTGTTTTTCTTGGCAACAAAACAGAAGTGGAATGCCAAGTCCTTCTTCTGAGATTTTTGCCGCCTCCCTCAACATCCTAGGTTATTCTATAGCTATGAGATTTCCTGGTGGTCTCCTATTCAAGTATTAACTAGGTCTGACTTTTCAAGCTCCCTCATAAAAAGGGTCCCCCTAAATTGCCCATGAAAACAAAATCAGGATCGAATAAAACAGCGCCTTTTTAAGGTCAGCTAGAGAAGGTTTACGAACATCCCAACACTGCAGAGAGTTTGTAAATGTTTTGCTTCTACTGAGTGGCTCGACTTATTAGGCCTGCTTATGCCAAAATAAAACAGTGCACCGGGCTACGACAAACAGGACTTCCTCATCGGTTCCCTCCAACTAGCTTTCCTTTCCCGAAGAGAGGCGGAGGGAGATAAGAAGACGGGGGAGTTCAACCGTGCCCGGAAGAAACTATGGGAAAGAGCATTAAACCCAGCTGGATCGGACTTGGTAGGGAACCCCAAAGGTCAGAGGAGAATTCCCTGTTCTACTTCTCTCTCCCGGATCCTGTCTGGAAGGGCTAAAAAGGGATCACCGGAACGATTCCCTCTCACCGTGGAAATCTCCCGTATCGGCCACCACGGTGGTGTGTTGTTTGAGCTGTTCTAGCGCCGACTCCATCTTCTGCTTTTTCACGGGGGAAACTGACATAGCCGCGCGCGGTTGCGAAGAAATAAGGAGGCGCGGCTGCGGCGGCTGAGCCTCGGACGAAAAATCAGGGGATCGGCACGCGGCTTCCGGGCTTGCGCCGCACGAAGCTGTGACAAGCGGCCTCGGGCTTCTCCGCCTTGGCTTCGGCGGAAGGGCGGGGTGGTGGGGGAGCCAGAGGCCGCCGCCTACGTCATCACAGGACTCGTTCCCGGGCTCTCGAGCCTTCTCTCTTCTTTCCATAGAGTGCCGGAGAGCGCTAAGGCTGCTCTGGGCAGTGGGCACAGGCGATTGGTTGTAGCCTTTGGTTTTCCCGGCTCGGTAGCCAATCAGGATTGCTCTGGGTTGCAGGACGAGCAGGTGGTGCCGTAGCCTTGCCTTAAATGAGCTAGAACCGATCATTGGAAGGGCGGGAGAGGAAGGGCGTTCAGTGTACCTCGTCGTTGCTTATGTTTGAGAAGCAGGGCGTTAGAAATCAGGCTGATTTGTTCCCCCCGCCTGCAATTTTGTCTTGGTCTCCTACATTTTACCTAATATGCTGTTTTTTTTGAAGGCTTAAAACATAGGTAGGAATTAAGTAATTAAAATATCATTGAGTATTTGAAAGAAAGCTTCTGAGAGTCAGTTTGGGCTAGCTAGTGGCTTAGGCACCAGGCTAGAAACCAGAAGGGGATGAGTTTTAATCCAGCTTTGGGCATGAAAGCCGGCTGGGTGAGTTTGGGCCGGTCACTCACTCTCAGCCTACGATGTCAGGTTCAGGAGATTGTCGTCAATACCTATCGCAACTAAATGTATCAATATTAGGTTATGCCAGAGAAAACAGATTATGCATTTGGAGGAAACCCTAGGAAGAAACAAAGTTTCTGTTAAAAGTACTGGAGTAAGGCATGCAAGAGACAGTCCCACATGATTTAATTCATTTCATAACATGTGGATTATACAAATTGTTTTGTTGCAGGAGTTGATCATTGGACTGAAGGTATGCTGGAGCCCATCCTCAAGAAACTTCTTTCTCTCCAGAATATGTGCACTGTGCTGTTCTAAACGGTGTACCGGGCAGTTTATAAGGTGCTAGTTGTGTGTAACTTTTAGTTGTTAATTAGGGTGTTAATGGCTGGCTGTTAAGTTATTAATTATTGTTTCCTTGTGCTGCCAAGTCCTCTGCTCCTAAACACTGATAAGCTGGTGGTAAATCAGCACTCTTGTTGACTGACCAGGGGCCAGGCTTCAATAATTTCTCTGGCTATTTTTGTCCCTGCTCGGCAACAATCACAGTAACTGCAAAATTGAATGCATGTCCTTTTTCATTGCAGTGTGAGGTTACCAATGAGTCTGGCAATCCTTGTTAATGGCTCATTCATGTTCTTACAACAGCATCCTCCCTATCTGTCTTACATAGTTACAGGGGCAATCCATGAAGGGAATCTGGTAAATTACAATAAGAACTTTCTCCCATCTCCAAGTTATCTTTGTAGTACACCAATCCAGCAGATTGCAAGAACACGAGTGAGCAGACAGATGAGGAAACCCAAACTCATCCGTAACTTCACACTGCAATGAACAAGGACAAAAATAGTTTTAATTTTTTGTCTAGACTACCTGAAAGGGCTGACATATATGAAGCAATTATCGTTGCCTTTGGTTTAATAATGGATAGTGTTTTAGCATTAGTTGTTTGATAGTTAAGTAACACAGTGTTTTAGAATGTTAGACTTTTAATATTCTACATGAAATATCTAATAATTATCCAGTAGTTTAGTAATCTAATTTGGAAAAGCATTTTAGTTAACTCTTGGAATTTTAATATTTCCATTTTTGTTTAGTCTTTGTTAACTAGCCCCCTTTTTTCCTTGCGTGTTCTAATTTTTATTGCATAATTGTACAAAATTCTGGTCAGTGAACTACAGTATAGAAAAAGAATTTAGTTTGTTAAATTGAAAATAAAGTCAAGGGTTCATAATGCCTTTAATATTTATTGGAGAGCTGCATGGAAGAGAAGGCACAATTACCAAGCTATAGTTAGTGAGAATCTTTCCACAATATTTGTGCCAGCCGAGAAACAATTGCACACCTATGGCTTTTTTTGTTGCTGTTTGGCTGGGCTGGTATATTTACAACTCAGCTACTTTATGTCTAGAATTACATGAGGGGCAATATTTTCATTTCTTTTGTTCATGCTCTGCAGAGCTTAGGAGTGGGTATTTTACTGTCCTTGGTGCTCTTTCTGTCTTAGCATTGATGGTGATACCTAGTTGGGTAATGAAATGTCTGCAATCAAGCTCAGAGAGCACCAAGCACTCTACAGTTCAAGCCTGAGCTGTACATTTTCTCTTCTATTTAGTTTTGGCAGGAACTTTATTCACTTTGCCTCTCAGCTTTGTGTTCAAATTAGCCTCCTCTCACTCTCTCTAGAAGTTCGACCATTAATGTTTCCTAATAATTTTATATAGGTAGTCCTCAATTAGTGATCACAATTGGTACTGGCAAGTCAGCTGTCATGCAGTCACTGAGACTGCGACTGTGCTTAACTTTCTTACTGTAGCTTTCTTTTGCTTTTCCAGGTCTGCAAAAGTGGTAAATTTGAGGATTGGTTGCAAAGTTGCTTTTTCAATCACTGTCGTAACTATGAATGGTTGCTCTAGGAAGCAGTTGCTAAATGAGGACTACCTGTGCATACTCTTAAATAGGAATTGTTTTTTGGAGAAAATATTCCAGGCCAGACAAATGCACACAGCATGAATTAAATGTGGAAAAAATGGTAGGGCACTAAATGGTGTTCTTTGTGATCTTACATTAGAAACTGAGAAGAACCGATTAGTGATTAAACACTAATAGCTAGTTTGGAAAGGTATATTATGGTATAATCCTAATTAGTTATTTCTTTGCTACAATGTTAAAGCCAAAAAGAAAATCTCTAGCATATACTTCTGCTATGATAAAACACCCATGCATCATCACATACTGCTTGTCTAATGAATTTCTAACATAGTGTGGATTGGAGTACTCTGTTAATGGTTATCAGAGAAGACAGATTTTTTTCTATAGATTCAGTTTTAATTTTAACTGGAACACATGTAAAAAGAGTAGAAACAAAATTTATTGCTGTTTTTTTTTTGGGGGGGGGGGAAGAATTCTCTTAACTTGACATTCAAAATTCAGTTGAGCCCAGCAGGCATGTCTTCCTTCCTTCCTTCCTTCCTTCCTTCCTTCCTTCCTTCCTTCCTTCCTTCCTTCCTTCCTTCCTTCCTTCCTTCCTTCACTCATTCAGTATAGTTTTTTGTTGAAATTATCCAGTGTTCTTCCAACAGGATTACAACAGGGTATACGGTTGGCCAGAAAAAATAGAACAAATTGCAATTCTCTGTTACTTTGACCAAAATTTCAAATTGGGCAGCTACCTACTTCATATACAATATAAAGGCGAGAATAGCAATGTGCAAAGTGTTTTGATTTTGTGCCATTCTCAAGTTGAAATGCTCCATTTTGAATTCAAAACAGTTGTTTTGAGTGCAGAGCAACTGTTTTAAATCTACAGTTGATGCTTTTGGGCACTTTCAACAGTGTTTGCAGCCTGACATCATGTTTCTAACTCAAGACTTAAATGACCAAAACAATCTGTTTGAAATGTGAAACAAGCAGGGCATTTTGTTTCATATTCAAACATTTTGCACATTAGTATAGAAAATCATTTGTAAGACTTTAAATTTGGACTTGGAATAAAACCTAGCAATAAACTCAAAAGTTGAATAGAGAAGGTGGTCAATTACTTTGTAACACCACAGTGCTACAATTGCATAGTTTATCTCATGTATGGCATTTTTCAAGTTTTTGCCCTTCAGGTTATATGTCTTTCAGACTTTCTAGCCAACACAAAGCATTTTGACATCAATTCCTAACTATGATAATTGATCATGAATAAAAATAAGCTATAGGGCTGGGTCTTGTTCATATGTTAAGCAAATATATGCAGAAGGCTTTGCATATAGAATAACTACAATATTAAGTCAAAAGAGACAGCCTCCAGGTAGAACAGTGCTGGTAGATAGTTTTAATACGCAAGAGAGGACACATATTAAAAATCTAAATTTCCCATTTTTGGTTGAAATCATGCAAATTGTGCAATAAATGAAGCATAGGTACAGTTAAGCAAAGCATTAACATTTCCATTCATATTTTACATAAGGATACATTTTAAAATTAATATTAATTTTCAACCAATTTGCCATTTATAGTACATATAGACAAGTCAGCAACACTAATGAAAGCATCTTTGGTTAGCCATATCTTCAGAGATAAGTATATACTCAATTTGATATGCTTCAAATACTTCCAAATAAATCAAGACAAAGATTAGTTTCTCTACCGCAGTTTTCTGGGGCTGATGATGCAATTAGGATTGTGGTTGCTCCATTAATGTGATATAGGAGAGTCTTGCAACTACATCTGCCATAGAGTATGTTTGGCGGTCCTTCTCCAATGGCAGAGACGAAAGTGATTGCTCCAAATAGGAGGAGATTCAGTCTCCCACGCTTCCTATTGACTCCTGCAGAAAAGTATTATTTATACTCTAATGCAGTGGTTCTCAACCTGTGGGTCGGGACCCCATTTGGGGTCGAACGACCATTTCATGGGGGTCGCCAAACAAGGCTGTCCGCCATTTCCCCCCCCCTTTTCTTTGATCACGTCCCTGGCACCCGGTGATGTATAAGTGGTTGGGGGTCACCACAACATGGGGAACTGTATTATGGGGTCGCGGCATTAGAAAGGTTGAGAACCACTGCTCTAATGCCTTCAGATAGAGAAAAGTCAAACATGTCAGGACGGGCTGTGGATTTAGAGGATCCAAACCCCTTCTGTTCTGACATATCAGTAGAAAATATGAGCCAGAGAAATTATTTCACTTCAGTTAAGAGAAAAGATGTTTTCAGAGTTGTAAAAAGTCAAATGAAAGACAGGATAATGTCACTTCAGTCCTACCATAAACATACTGGTAGGCAATACACTGTTACTTTGATTTCTTCCTCTGTCCGGCAATTGTTCCTTAATGGTGATAATCATGTATCTTTAGTGAATTTAAATCTACAGTTATTAATGTATATTTAAAAGTGAGAACATAGCCATTTATTAGGAGTTCTCAATATCTATATTACTTTCTTTGGCTTTATTATTAATATTCCATATGATAAGCGGATATGCCTGCTCTATATCTGGTTTATAAGTAAGTGCATCTGCTGCTGCTTATATATTTGTCAGCTTCACATATAATACATATTTTTTTCTGATTTTAAAGTGTGATTAAATTATCTCTGCATCACTACCTTTAAAATATTTAATGTGATTATTTAGCAATATCTCCACAAAAGCTTTTTGTTTTCACCTTTGCTAAGAATCTTGTCTACATAGTTATGTACAGATAAGCCGTTGTGGCTAATGTACAAATAATAGTAGATAGACGCAGTGTTTCTCAACCTTGACCATTTTAAGGCATGTGGACTTCAACTCCCAGAATTCCACAGCCAGCACTAAGCAACTAAGTATGCATTCTTTAAAGGCTTGGTTTTGCAAATTTTTCCAGATATGCAGAATAATATACATTTTTTGGAATAAGTGATATATATACCAGACACAGTCCATGTTTACCAGTTTCTTCAAGATTTATATATTTTCAGACCCAAAATGTATGTAAATGAAGTTTTAGCAGCTAATGTCATATATACTGATTTGCAGTTTGAACGGAGTTGTGTTCACCAATACTGACTACAGCAATTGTCGTAAATCTGTAGTCCCACTTCAATTGCATATTTTTCAATTTTGAGTAAGTAGCTTTCCACTGGTGGTATAAGCAGCCAATTACATAATTTACACAGGAAAAAAAAGCAACTAGAATCATGACTGGTTTTGGATTTTGGCTTATGCCTAATTAAGCAAAGAGGACACTTTGCAAAAAGATAGAGGACAAAGCGGCACCTAAACCTTCGTATGGTCAACCTACTGAAAACATAGCCACCAAATGTAAGTTTTCAACCAACATGTTCTGGAATTTAAAAATTATAAAAAGATAATTAATCGTGTCTTGAGCACATAAGGTGCCATGTGCTCTATTCATATTTCATTTTCTCCCTCTCCATACGGCTCATACATTTAGCTTTTATGAAAGTTTATATTCATTAGAGGATTTCCTGGAATCAAAATAAATTGTCTCATGAACCACATACTGGGTATCCTTCCGCAGATTAAAGCAGATTACATAGTTTGAATGCATTTGGAATGTTAATAATCCCATCAGATTGGAATTATATGTTGGATTTTTCCTTGTATTTTGATTAATCATTATTCATTGGGTGATCCTGAAGCTTCCTATGAGTCAAAGAGTGCCCAAACCAAAAAAAAAAAAAAAGCTAATTTTGGCCTATCCCTAGGATTAAAAAGATTAAGTAAAAAAAACATCCTATGGCCATGCCAATCAGCAAAAGTGATTATATTTGTTTGGCTTTCATTTCAGTCCACTTTTTCCTTGATGAAATTGCCATATGTTACTGAGAATAGTTCCAGCCCTTCATTTTGAAGCTTGATCTGAATACAGGTTAGTGATAATGGATTAAAACAAAGAAACACACATAGATTTCCAAATGGTATTTCTTTGGATTACTCCTTTGGAAGAGTGTTTGGGAGACTTCTTGAATTTCCCTTTGGAGTGGAGAGCTCTAATCTTTGCCAACCTCTGTAAAAAAGTGAAAGCTTGCTTGTTAACACCTGAAGTCCAATATTATGGGAAATGGAAGCAGGGAATACCCCAAGAACACACAGGCTTTTGGGGGTGCCTGACATGCCCTAAACTGAATCTTGATCTACACCAGTTTTGGTGGAAAACAATTGCCTCCCTTTGGTTTAAAAGAGAGCAGGCATAAAAGAAAATGGGTCTGGGGAAGAAAAACAAATGAAATGCTGTTCTCTCTTCCATCTTGCTGGGTTTGCATTTGCAGATCTGCCAGAGAATCTACTGTCAGAGCCGTCTGTGAGCACTTCCCATCAGGCTCTGGTTCTAAACATGTGAATAAATATGTACAGGCTTGGATTGTAGAACTGCAGGTATTTTCTTATACTAATAAATGAGAAATATAAGTTTTTATATACGTGGGTATGGGACAGTTCCAATATGCACTCTTTTATATACCTTGACATTTTTTTTTCACAGGACAATATGAATATTGTAACTATTTAGATTTGCTGTTGAAATATCAGGGTTGCCTTATGTGATCACTTCAGGATCACAATAGAGGTACGTGGGGTCAAGCTTGGGCAAGAGCAGAGCATTCAAGTTGATTCAAGTCTTGAGTGTGGATGTGCACACGTGTGTGTATGCCTGTGTGTGTGCCTGTGTGTGTGTCTGCAAAGTCCATACAAAAACATATACAAAGAAACGAGTGTTCCTGCAAGCAAAGAATGCTATCACTTTCAATATGAATGAAGCAGCTAAACATTAAACTGGCATTGGATAAACCTGACTTCTTACAGTGCAAAGACCCTTTTTGATTGCATGGATATTTTTTTTAAAGCAGCTGGGGGGGGGGAAACAATAGTTCTAGGAAAAAAGCAGGCAAATTTAAACATCTTGCCTGCTAATGATAAGCTTTTGTATGTAGCAAAGATGATGCAGAAGATTCCCCACTACATGCTGGACACAGACTGTACTGAGTTTCGTACAAAACTAGCTGAGGATTTAGAAGCATGCAGGCTTCAAAGCACATGGCTTTGCTGGCTTATGACTAACGGTATTTCCAGCCAGTTCTGGATGCATTGATGGGCCACAGAGAAAACGTACTGCATAGATTGATTTGGTTGTTTTGCTTCAATCCAACTTTTGCTTAGAGCAGAATTCTGGTCATCCTCATGCTCTGAAATCATAGACGTAACATCATGTATAAAATATAGCAATATAAAAATATAATACTTCATTCAATACTACAGCTTCTTCCCAATGCATTGTCAAATTAGTGAGGGAGTTTAGTGTTCCCTTTGTCAACATTGCTGAAGGAACAGTTGGTCTGAATGGCAATGTACATTGATAGTCCCAACAGTCTCACTTGAAGAGTGCTCCGTTCTATTTTTTCCTCTTTTCCCTTTTTCCTGCAAGTAAATATATATGACTAGAGTTGAAATAAACCAAAATAATTTAAATAGAAGAATCAATCCTCTCTTGGCGTTGCTTCATGATTTGCTCAAGTTCTGACTTCTCTCTATTTTTCTGTAAGAAAAAAAAACATAATGAATTTTATTTTTAAAAAGTTACATAAGACAAATCACTTTAGTAATTTAGCATTTTCAAAAGTGAGTTCACTGCTATGGTTTCTTCTCTCAGATTTCTCAGAAGCAATTTGAGATGACTTTGCAATTTTCTTCTCTTGTGAACAAGAGAATCTCTCAATTTTAAACAAAGAATTATGGTCATGCTCTGATTTGACAGAGATTCAAAGCTATGTCCTGAGCTGCTGCAGTTCCTGCAGAAACCTAAAATCTTACTCCTATTCCTGCAAAAATGAAATAAATGTTGCACCCAACCACTGCAAAACCTTGATTCAAGGTGAGTATTTGTCTAAAAGTATACACATATATAATATCCTGGTGGATCCTATGAAGGAGAACTAAGAAAGGTACAAGCCATATTATTACTTAAAAGTTAGACCTGCAGTTTTACTACAGAAAAAAATCTTTTTTATTGATTTGACAATCCATGACAAAAGCACATGAACTATAAGAACTGCATATATAGAAAAGTCAATGATTGAGATTCAAAATAAACATAAAATGCAAATAAATTATCAGGATCACTAGACAACTAAATATCTAGCAGAAATAACTATTGCAACAATTTAGCAGCCCATCTGGAGAAATGTTGTAATCTGTCAGTTAAGATGAGGAAAATAATTTCCCCCTTTGATTAGCATGTATGTAATTAAGAGAGGTGTTATTAATTCAGCACTATGACATATACAAGGGCATTGCCAGGAGATAAATAAAATTGTTTCCTCTAATGAACTTGGACAAAATTGTTTTTGCAGAGAAATCTGTAGTCTTTTTCTTAACAAGTGGCAATCTTAGGCAAAGGTAAGGGATCTTTTGTGGGCCAGGCAAAGAATGCTTGCTAATCTTTTTAGTTTAAGAGAGCACAAGCCTGCAAAATACATTGTTGGAAGATGGTTTAATCCTATAAAATGACACTGCTGAGGAGCTGCTGTTTCAATTCAGGACCAAAAGCAATGGGTGGAAACTAATCAAGGAGAGAAGCAACCTAGAACTAAGGAGAAACTTCCTGATAGTGAGAACAATTAATCAGTGGAACAACCTGCCTCCAGAAGCAGTAAATGCTCCAACACTGGAAGTTTTTAAGACGAGACTGGACAGCCATTTGTCCGAAATGGTGTAGGATTTCCTGCCTGAGCAGGGGGTTGGACTAGATGACCTCAAAGGTCCCAACTTTATTATTATTATTATTATTAATAATAATAATATTCCGACCAAGTTCTCTGAGTCAAACAAAATAAAGACCTGATAGGCCAGAACCTTTCACAACAATTCCAGTCTTTTGTGTGAACATGCGGTTATCCTGCAAAATCAGAGAAACGGGGGTGCTATCAAAGAAGCATAAATTGGTCCAATATTTCAACCAGTAGTTTCATTTGGTCTCCAAAGAAATTAGCTCAAATTCTAGTCTCAGCATGGGGTAAGATAAAACCATGAGTTACTTCAAGCAAAGCCCTTAGAAATTTGGATTTGATTATCTTTATGGAGCTGGTACAAAAGAGTAACATCCATGCATCATACAGTAGATGATTAATGAACTTTGCTCTGAAATTTTTAATGGCACTACACATACTTATTATCTTTATATTAAGTGTGCTGCAGCTGCCAAAAAAGCCAACACAGTGTTAGGCTGCATTAACGGGGATAGAATCAAGATCACGTGGAGTGTTAATACCACTTTACAATGCCTTGGTAAGGCCACACTTTGAATACTGCATCCAGTTTTGATCACCACGATGTACAAAAGATGTTGAGACTCTAGAAAGAGTACAGAGAAGAGCAACAAAGATGATTAGGGGACCGGAGGCTAAAACATATAAAGAACGGTTGTTGGAATTGGGTATGTTTAGTTTAATGAAGAGAAGGACGAGGGGGGACATGATAGCAGTGTTCCAGTATCTCAGGGGCTGCCACAAAGAAGAGAGAATCGAGCTGCTTTCCAAAGCACCTGAAGGCAGGACAAGAAACAACGGATGGAAACTAACCAAAAAGAGAAGCAACTTAGAACTAAGGAGAAATTTCCTGACAATTAGAACAATTAATCAGTGGAGCAACCTGCCTCCAAAAGCTGTGAATGCTCCAACACTAGAAGTTTTTAAGAGACTGGACAGTCAGAATAAAATATAGGAATTATTGTTACATTACTTTTATTAACCCTATAAAATGCATTTCATTTAGAAGATATATTCAGTTCTTAAAGGTGACAAATTAATTTCTGCTCTGGCTGAAAGTATATGAACAATAAACTACCTCAACTATTTCTCTACCACAGATCCCTTTTAAAGACCTTTTGTGGCCACACACCATGGCCACAGGACCTCCAAAACTTAATTCAAGATTTAAATCATAACTTTTCTTCAAACCTTTGCAGATTCCCTATGACGACATCGTGGACCCCCAGGGGTCCATGGACCACAGGTTGAGAGCCACGGAACTAACTTATTAGCACAGCAATGAAATCTATTAGTCCATCTATAATACTTTAAAGCAGCATTTTTCCCCAGGATCATGAGATTTCTCTCAAAGTATTAACAGTCTTAAAAGATTAGGACTACACTATAATGTTACTACCCATCCTTTAAATTATGGATGTGAGATCATCAAAGGGTTGCTATTTTAGGAACTTACCTCTAGATAAGACTTTCGCACTGTGATTTTGCTAAATACCCGGGCACCTTCTTCTCCGCATACTTTTTTCAATTCTTCTTTGTTCAAGGAGAAAAGCTGTGCTCCTGTCAGTATGCCAAGATGCTCCACGGTTCTAAAAATATGTTAAGGAAAAAGCACTATTTAAAGAGGTACAAGGCCCTAGACCAGTGATGGCGAACCTTTTAGAGACTGAGTGCCCAAACTGCAACCCAAAACCCACTTACACATCGTCGAGTGCTGTGTGGGTGTGGCCCATTGGCTGGGTGTGGCCTATTGGGTGGGCATGGCTGCGGTGGTAACAGCAGACTGGGTGGGACTAAAAAGTTCAATCAATCAATTCCAACTTTGCAAGATTTTTTTTCCCGCGAGAAGTTGAAATTTACTGATTGAACCTTTTTTTTTTTGCACATGGCAGAGACCTAAAGTGAAAAGGTTTTATAAAATCCAGCTGAAGGCCTAGGACTGGGACGATGGCGCATGTGCCCACAGATAGGGCTCTGAGTGCCACCTCTGGCACTCGTGCCCTAGGTTCGCCACCACTGCATTAGACATTTGACACTTTTCATCATAGGCCAATAGTTTCTGAGGGAGAAAGGTATCCTAAATTTACAGAAGATTGCAATTAGTTCTATATCCTTGACATCTGCTTCAAAGGTTTCACTGAGAAAGGTCTGCATTCAGTCTTCATGAAATATAAGAAATTTGAAAAGTGGACCAGTTTCTTAAAACTGAACTGGAACTGGAACTATAAACTAAACTAAACTAAACACTAAACACTGAACCTAAACCTAAACTACAGTAATACATTTTTTAAACCTCTTTCAGAACTGATTGTTTTTGCCCCTTCCTCCTGCGCCATTTTGCGCAAGTATAAAAGATCCTTTACTGACATACATAAGTAGTGGACAAACTACTCAAAAGACCTAATCATCACTGTCATAGTTATGTAAACTTTAATCTAGGAGTAGTTATGAGGATAACAGAACAGCCATCTGATACCGCAAAGGCAGGTCCTGTCATTCTCCTTTTTAGCCAGGATAGAACTAAGCACAATAAAACTATCCCTCAGTGATCTGCAGATAATTTTTACATTATGATTCACTGGAAATCCTGCACTAATCAGTAGAACATCCAAATGTTTCATTGTAAGTAGGGATTATTTTGACTATTCTAAATTAAAAGTATATTTATATAATGCCCTTTACAGAAGAAAGTTCCTTTGAAACTGAAGAAGATGGTAATACATGTGCCCAGCAGCAGTAACACACTTTATTTTTTTTTAAAAAAACACACACATACATTGATTTGCATCTCCAGATGTCTCTCTACAATTATTTCTTAACATCTTTCTCAGGAGGGTAATCTTTAAACACTGATTATATGTGCTAGTCCCCTGAGGGCAAGCAATATTATGCAGAGCACAGAAAAGGAGTTACGAACTAGCAAGCACCTCAGAAAAAGCAAAGGAAATACAACTAAAATTACACAAACACCCTTCATCATACCTCTCTTTATCATTCGGTCCCTACAAACCTACTACAGGCTTCCTACACTGCTTTTTATTTATTTAAATGAAATCAGGATCACATCAACTTTCTCAGCCTTCTTCTTCCTCTCAATCCAATTACTCTTCCTTCATATATTGGCTTCGTAATTTGATCCTAGATCATACTATCTATATAGGATCAAATCACCTCAATGTACTTTCTTCATACTAGTCATCTAACTTTGTATTCCATCCACATTCATTAAACTCCATATAATCTTGAGCCCATCACTTGTTTTATCACACACATTCCATCTTACCACATTCAGCTTAACTTTTATATTTCTCCTGACATATCCAAACCTCACTGTCAAATAAAAAAGTAAGCAGAAACACTCACGTATGCACAGCTACAGTCACTTCTTTTGACAAATGTTCTTTTTAATAGAATACATACTACCCATCCATTTCCTAGTCTTTGAGAAACATTTAACTATGGTAGCTGCCAAACACGACATTTTTGGTCTTCAATATAGTTATTTCCAGATCTATAGCCCTATTGCATCAAGTTATGTTAAAAGATCTGTGGGTAGCTCTGCACTGCAAGTAAGTATAATTATTGCCTGGTATATGCAAGTGAAACATGTCTCCTCTGTATTAGAAACAGGAACAGCCAAGCTGCTCCATGAAAAGAAAAGATCCAAAATCCAGGTGTGCAATATCATTATTAGGACCAACTAAAAAGTCAAATCAGAATGTGTGCAAACTTTTCTATTTTCTAGATATCGTCAGGCTAAAAGAGAGGAAAAAATAGGGAGGACTTTATTTCTGCACTGTTGCCATCCTGTGTCACCTCAAGGCAAGATCTTACTGACAGCTGAGTTTTATTGGGGGGGGGGCTCAGTCAGGGCTTCATTATCCTAGGATGATGCTAAGTGTAATCTAATACCTCATGGCAAATCATGATAATTTGGGAGATTTTTTTTTCTCTTTTCCTTCCTCACCTCTTGGTTTTAAAGAATCTGAGAGGATGCTGGCTCATTGTTATGGCATTTAACTTACCCTGTTAAAAATGTTGACAATATTTAAATTTTGATCTTTTAAATTTTGTTTCAAGGGCGAACCAAGATTTGAGGGACATATAATATGAAATGCAAATAGGTTTTTATGCATTTTCTCCTGTTCTCTATTATGCAAGAAACCTAATCTAACCTTTTTTTTAATCCTGCTATCCCAATCACTTCACATTATCTGAAACAAAAATGGATCTGTTGCCCTACAGATGCATTAGACTTACTTCCATTATCCTTAGCCTACAGTTATAGGGAAAGGAAGGGAGAATGGCAAGAAATTAAAAAAGAAAACATCTGAAAAAGAAGAGCCACTTACCCTTTGCTGAATGAATTTGCTTCCAGCCAAACTCTGACTTCCTCAGCATTGGATTCAAAGGTTAAGGGCACAAGAACCGGCTGGGTCTTCTCTACTCTGAAATTCCTTTGAGGTTGTTGGATTTTTGTATTTGTGATCTTTTTCAGCAATTCATCATTGACCTCGTCCATGTGATGGATTAATTCTAAAAAAAGAAATTGAGGAAAAATTATGCAAGTTCAGAACAGGCATCAGGGCTATCAATCATTTAAAGCAATTTTTGTTACAGAAAGTCTCTTCCTCAATTATTTGATTATATTTAAGTTACATATAAAAGCACATTTCATTTCCAGCTACAGGTAGTCTTCGACTTATTGATTTAGTGGCTATTCAAAGCTACAACGGCACTGAAAAAAAGCGACTTATGACTGTTTGTCACACTTAATGACCAATGCAGCATTGCCATGGCCATTTGATCAAACTTTGGTCGCTGGGCAACTTGCATGTATTTATGTCGATTTGACTGTCCCAGGGACACCTGATCTCCTTTTGTGACTTTCTGATCAGCAAAGTCAATGGGGAGCCAGATTCACTTAACTACCATGTTACTGACTTAGCAACTGCAGTGATTCACTTAAGAACTGCGGCAAAAAAGGTCATAAAATGGGGGGAAACTCACTCAACAACTGTCTCTCTTAGCAGCATGAATTTTGGGCTTGATTGTCGTAAATGGAGGGCACAGCCCAAAATTTTCTTCCAAAGAGAAGTGTGCTCTTAAGTTTCTTCCATGGAACTTACATTTCCCATGAAAACCTTTACAGTTAATGGTCAACCACTGAATCTACAAGCATCAAATTGAAATCTTATTTTATACTTACTGTATGTATTTGGGAGTAAGCCTTCAAAGTAATTGGAATATATTTCCAAGTAGACATATAGTACATTGAATTTTATTCCACATGCATTAAATTTGCAAGCCTACTATTGAGAACATTAAAATATAGCAGAGAAATAGATGAACTGTCCTTCCTACCTTGGAAACAAGTAACTACAGTATGAGGATAATTTAAAGCAAAATATAATACCAAGAGGTATTACAAGGCGATGGATAGTCCACCAGTAATGCTATGAGATCATTTCACTGCAGATTTGAGACTGAGGTGGCTTCTCAAGATTGCTTCATTATTTATAATAAGAGCTCATGATAAACAAGTTACATTTGCCTTCTTTAAGCAATTACAAAAGGATCAAACCTTCCAATACATAATTTATCTTTTATAAACATGTGTGATAATGCCTTTTCTTTTAACTTGCGTATTGTAACCCAGCTACACATTTAAGATTAGTACTTAGTTCAAAGGTTCTTGGTGCTGATCTTTCAACTGATCTGAGTTGAATGATCAGTAATTTTTGGCCAGTGTAATAATGTACCTTTCTTTTAAAATGTTAAATATATGAGTTCAGACTGTATGGGTACTTACGTTCTTTGGCTTCTGAAGAATTGTGGGCTGCCATTTCACTTCCCCATTTCTCTCCAGCATAGCTAGGAGGTAACTTATGGGAAGGGCTGGAAGATCCAGATGCTCTTGGACTCAGGTCTCGATATTTCTGATTACCCTACAAAATGTCCAATGTGTAAAAATCAGATTTCTATTATTCTTCATTCCTTATTGCTTGATAAGAAAGTATAACCAGTTAACTGATGTAAATCCTTGATTTATTGTTTTGTCCAATTATAAAATTCCTACCATCGTTCTGAGTTTATTAGAGATAAAGCTGCTTAGGACATCTGCTTTTACTGGCATTTGGCTGCTGGAACATTATGATGGAGATTAATATCTATGTATATAGGCAGATATCTCTGTGGATAACAGAACAGAGACTTTGATTCTCTACGAAAATTTATCATTAAAGACCTCCACAGAAATGAGTACTTCTTTCAGTATAGATAGTCCTCGACATACAACAGTTTGCTTAGTGACCGTTCAAAGTTACAACAGCACTGGAAAAAGTGACTTATGACCATTTTTCACACTTACGACTGTTGCAGCATCCCCAGACTGTTGTGGTTTACATTTGGATGCTTGACAACCGACTCACATTTATGACGGTTGCAATGTCCTGGGGGCCATGTGATCCCCTTTTACAACCTTCTGACAAGCGAAGTCAATGGGGGAACCAGATTCACTTGACAACCGTGTTACTAATTCAACAACTGCAGTGATTCCCTTAACTGTGGCAAGAAAAATCGTAAAGTGGGGCAAAATATCTCTTAATAAATTTCTCACTTGGCAACATACATTTTGAGCTCAGTTGTGGTTGTGAGGGCTACCTGTGGCAGGACATTTGTATGGTTTGTTTTATTGTATGTGACCCAAAATTATATTTGGCTATATAAATAGGATTTATTTATTTACTGAATTAATAGCCTGCATGATTTTTGTGCCCAGACGGCAACCTAATTCTTTAGGAAAATTTTTATCCTTTAAAACTACTTTTGTAAAGACTATTCACCAGGAACTGTGTCTGATATATTGGCACACAGCTACCTAATGAAATATAACTGGTGCAATTCAAAGATTGCATTTAAATCTTCCCTCAGACATGAAGGGCTAGAACAGGGGTAGGCGACCTTGGCTCTTTTATGACTTGTGGACTTCAACTCCCAGAATTCCTGAGCCAGCTGTGTTAGAAGGTCAGTTTAGGGTCAATGAGTATTTTTCCTGCCCTAGCTGGCAGGATTGTTTTGAGGAGAAAGGGAGGGAGGAAGAAACTATCTATGCCATCCGCTGTTGTTTTAATAAAGAAAGAGAATTGTTAAAGAAAGAGAATTGTGAAGAGGGAGTGTGTGTGTGTGTGTGTGTTTGTGTTTCTGTGTGACTAAAATATGATTTCTTTGTTGTTAAGAAAAATGAATAGCCGGAATCACTTAGGGAAGCATATCTACCAAAGTCATCTATGCAATTTTGTGTTTATTTTAAAGAACTATGGCCTCTAATTTAAGAGCTAAATCAGACCTGCACCATTGCTGCAAAATCCTCCTGGGTCACCAGATCTAAGATATTATATGGAACATAACCAGCCTGTCCACTTCGGTTTTTCAGCTTCCACCATTGTTTGTTATCTTCCAATACCTGTGAATTAAAAAAAAAACAATTTATCTGCTATGAAAGATTACATTCTGTGGTTTGTTTAAACATCTCCACTAGAATTTTTACCTTACAGGTAGACTTACAACCATTCATTAGCAACCATTTGAAGTTACAACGGCACCAAAAAAAGTGACTTAGGACTATGCCCTCCCATTTACAACTATTGTAGGATCCCCGCAGTCACGTGATTACACATGGCCATCAGCACGCATTTATGATGTTCGCAGCATTTTGAGTCAGGTTATCATCATTTGCAATCTCCCCAGCTGGCTTCTGACCAACAAAATGAATGGGAAAGGCTGGATTTGCTTAACAACCATGTGATTCACTTATCTGCAGTGATTGCACTTGGCAAAAAAAGATCATAAAATCAGGCACAGTTCACTTAAACCCGCCTTACTTAGCGATGGAAATTTTGTGGGTAATTCGAGCACTATCTGTATATTCCTTGCACAATTAAACCAATAAGTCACTCTTTACATCAGTGGTTCTCAACCTTTTTAATGCCATGACCCCAACTGGTTCATAAGTAGTTCATAAGTTGAGGACTACCCAACCGGTCGTAAGTCAAGGACTTTACCTGCCTGGGAGCGCCACGCATGTGTGGTGCCGCCCCCTGCGCCAGCCGAAGTGTAGCAGAATGGGACTTTTGGCGGACTCAGCAGGGCAGAGACAGCCTGGACAATTCCTATTGGCTTTTGAAAGCCAATAGAATTAGACTCTATTCAAGAGAGTCTATTCTATTGGCTTTCAAAAGCCAATAGAATAAAAGGGAGTAGCACAGCGAAGGAAAAGGGGAAAAAATGGTGGACTGCGTTGTTTGGCGACCCCCGTGAAATGGTCATTCGACCCCAAATGAGGTCCCGACCCACAGGTTGAGAACCGCTGTTTTACATTCTTGAGCGCAGTTATTTCTGTTCTGTAAATAGCCTGCATATTTTTTTCCCCTGAGAATAGGTCATCACGTTCAAATAATTTACAGAAAAACTTTACTAGCAAATAACTGAATTTTCATCCTATCTGCTTTTTAATCTTCTTTCCCCAAAGTCGAATGCCCCTTGCCCATTTGGCTTTGAGAATGACTAGTCAACTCGAAAGCTTCCCCATAGGTGCTTTCTCCATCATACACCAGTTAGTGCTGCACAGTATTAAAGTGCTGCTTTCCTTCTCCCTCCTCCCTGCCCTGAAACATCTCATATGGAATATTGGGTGTGGAGGGTTGAAGGATCCATTCAAAGCTTGTGTGATCACGCCCACCTCCTGCCTCCCTTTTCCAGGCATTTGCAAGGATCTTGGACTTGTTCTTTTACCTCCAGAATTTCATCTTTCAGCACTGACAGTTCAGTTGCATTTCGAGCAGTGAAATCATAAAGAATTTTGGCGTATATCTTTGACTGAGCCATGCCTTGGGCCTCAAAATTCCTGCAAGAAAGATATTGTAGGGGGAGAGCCAGGTTAGTCTATTGTGGCAAAAAAAAAAAAGTTGGCAGCACGTTTCTCAATTAACAAATTTCTAGTCAGAATTCAATTCGCATTTTAACAAAATTGGTTAGTTGAAAAGGATGACAATGCCTTCTGATTTTTTAATTTTTTTTTGCAAGAAAGATATAATGGCATTATCACATTACTAGTCAGAATAACTCATGGCCTACTTTAAAATACCATATTGAAGTTAAATGATGCACCAGTATATTTTTCCAGCTTTCTTTAGCTCATGTGCTTATATGGTTCCTGCAAAAAATTAAACTACACATTATATCAACAAAATAAAGTAATTAAATAAAGCCTGCCTGTAAAAGTAACTAAAACAATAACCCTTCGGAACATAGCTTTAATTGGTATTACAAAATACTTTTTCTTAAGCAAGCCAGGCCTTGGACAAGAGGTCGTAAGACAATAACTGCAACCTCAGTTCTGCCAAGAGTTGAAATGAAACTTGGCAACATACGAATGTGTGAAATATCAAGCTAAGTTAACAAGCAGAAGACAGCAGCTGGATTCCCTGTTTTCCTGTTTGTATTAAATTGAAATAGATAAAAGAGAAAATACTAGCTTTCATGGATTGAGATTTGAAACCAAGATGGGGAACATTATTTAACCAGGAGAAAAGGTAGTGATCTTTTCCAGAAGTGCCTCCCAACATGAGAGAAACAGGGAGGCACAAATAGGAAAAGGAGAACGATATTTAAGTGGGTGTAAAGAGAATCAGTCACTTGAAAGAATGGTGGAGACTAGGAGAATGGTTTCATTGGATCAGTGACATTGAAATCTGTTCAAAAATACTATGAATTACTCTGAATCACTCGTGAACCCTATTGTGAAGGCCACTGGTCATTGTATATTCATTTATATTAACAATATTATTAATATTTTTTCTTTATCCGTACAAATATCATTTTGATACAATACTAAACATGGATATTTAAGCCTATTTAAGATGTTAAGGTCACACATATATTGAGTATTCTGAAGTTTCTTTCTTTTTCTTTCTCTCTCTCTCCTATTTTTGATATTTTCTCTGGTTTTTTTTGTTAGTTTTTAAAACTCTGTAATCCTTTTTGTCTTGTTTCATGTCTTCAGTTAAAAAGATACAGGGAAAAAAAACACTTGAAGGCAATTATTTTAGCCTTCCACAGTTACACAGTTAAACCCCACTAAGGCTGTTGTGTACAATCTGGGGTCCCAAGGTGGTTGCAATCACTCAAAATATTAGCCACAGACTTCATAGATTCCCAACATGATTACCACTGAATTATTTAATATGACAGAAAAAGAAAACTATTCAATACACGATAATCACATTAAATTAACTTCATTTAAATAAAATACTAAATTAAATTGAGTGTACAGTAGTTTTTGCCCTGGTATCATCCAATTGCAGAAATGCAGCTCCCAGCTTGGCCCTCAACCTAAAGTTGTGTTATTTCTAAAAAGACAAATCCCCACCTCAATAAAGTGAAAAAAAAAATGATGTGACATCAGTCGCTCACATTTTTTAATCCCACAAATAAAACAATGAAAGGAAAATACCTATGTACATGTTGAGTAACATGCTGAGCAAAGGCATCCACTCCTTGCTTTTGGTCTGAAGTCTGGACTGGCTTCAAGTGACGATTGGGACACCCATTGGATGATGACAGCTTCCAAGGAGGAGAGAAGGAGGAGAAAGAGACCAGAATATTATTAATAAGGCAAATGCACATGTCCCAAAGAAAGTTCCTCATTTTTATCCATCAAAATCATAATAAGAAAGGTGGTACTTTCACTAATATCAGTTTCCAGGAGATCATATACACACACATATAAATAAAAGAGTATTTGTAAGAGGGCAAACCTGCCTGGCTGCCAAACTACCATTCCTATTGCATGAATAATCTCATGAAGTGGTATTAAATCATATCATCAGTTTGCAACTAACTAGAACAGGGGTCGGCAACTTTAAACACTCAAAGAACCATTTGGACCCATTTCCCACAGAAAAGAAAACACTGGTAGCCACAAAACCCTGCTGCTTCCCCCCGCATGGAGCGCCCTGACGCCACTGCTTCCCCCATCCAATCCCAATGGAGCACTCCACTGCCATTGCTGCTTCCCCCCCTGCACGGAGCGCCCCATTGCCACTGCTTCCCCCCATCCCCCTGACAGAGCGCTCCATCACCACTGCTGCTTCTCCCCCCACACGGGGCGCCCCACTGCCACTGCTTCCCCACACCCCCACACAGAGCACCCCACTGCCATGGCTTTTTTTTCTGTGAGAATTTGGAATTGATTAACTGAACTTTTTTTTAGTCCCACAAACTTTTTTTGTTTGTGGGACTGCACACGGCGACAGGACAGGGAGCCACAGCAGAGGGATGAAAGCCACATGCAGCTCTGGAGCCATGGGTTGCTGACCCCTGAGCTAGAACCTCTGAAGGTTCTAACCATGGATGTAGGCTTCAGTTTTGACTAAAAGGGGGAGAGGAGGTGGTAGTTTCTAAGAACTACCTATGGATAGATATCAGACACAAAATGAGGGAGGAAGAGAGAAATAATTCTGAAGCAACTAAAATCTCATTCCCTCCCCCATTCCATACATTTTAAAAAATCAGTATCTCCCCCTCCCCCCAACTATGTCAAAAGATCTGTCTGTCAAAAATCCCCAAGCAGATTGATTTACATCCTGGTTAGTTCAATGAGGAACAGAAGGGGGGGGGACACTGAAATAGTTCTTGTTAATTTCATCCTGGTTTCTTAATTGGGCTGCTGTGCTCTTGAAATTTACATAGGTCTGCAGATTTGAAACAATGCAAATCAATCCTCACTGCCTTTTAAAGTGGTATGAGCAAGGTAACTTGGATTTGGTCATATACAAAAATATCTAAGTGGTTATTATAAAGAAGGTTAGTTATCTTTCCCTTTTATGAGTGAGAGAATAGAATGCTATGTTAGCTGAAGCCCAGCCATTGGGAGGTGAAATGAGGCAAGGTTTTCACCAGCAGGAAAACAGATACTCATAACATTTTGAGAATTTCACTGCTGGAAACAAAAAGGGGCTTTTTTTCTGGTTTGTTTGGCAAGTCACAAATAAATCAGTTCAGTTGCTATACATAACAATGACATGAGAACACAAAGATGCAGATTGATTCTGGAACAGTGCAAATAAATCACATGAGTGTGCCTAGGCAGTGCTTAGCTAGATTGCTGCAAGTTAGCTAAGTATCATGCTTTAAATCAGTGGTTCTCAACGTTTGTGTGACGGCGACCCTGTCACACAAACGTGCTGCGCATGCGCGGTGTGACACGCATGCACGGCACCCCCATGCGTGGCGCCCCCATGCACAGCGCCCCCATGCACGGCACCCCCCATGCGCGGTACGGCGCACATGCACGGCGCCCCATGCGCGGTGCCCCCCATGCGCGGTACCCCATGCACGGGGGGTGGCGCGCATGCACGGGGCGACGCGCATGCACGGCACCCCATGCGCGGCGCGCATGCGCGGCGGCGCCCCCTGAGGGGGGAAAATGGCGGATCGCCTTGTTTGGCGACCCCTGAGAAATGGTCGATCGACCCCAAATGGGGTCGCGACCCATAGGTTGAGAACCGCTGCTTTAAATGATCAATTCACCTTCCTAATTTTTTTTTTAAAAATTAATATGAACCATTCATAGATTTATCTATCTACTTCAACAACAACATTGTATTTGGCTCACAATTTGAGTAAATAAAGTTAAAAAAGGAAGAAAGGAAGGGAGGAGGGAGGGAGGGAGGGAAGGAAGGAAGGAAGGAAGGAAGGAAGGAAGGAAGGAAGGAAGGAAGGAAGGAAGGAAGGAAGGAAGGAAGGAAGGAAGGATTTTAGTCTGCAAAGTACCTCTTCTTGCAGATGGCCAATATCAATTTCCCATGGAGCCCCACGAAAGATTTCCAGGGGTGGCTCCCATCCATTGTGAAACTTTGGAATATATCTTGGGATGTTGGCATCTCTTGGCCATTCGGCTCTTGGAACACATATTAAAAATAAGCTTATTTTATAGAGAGCAAGAACATACGATGCCCTTTCCCATTTTAGACTATGATTATTATATCTCAAAGCTGAGCATATTTTTGGAAAATCAGCATTCTGATTGCTTAGCTCACATACAAATGCTATCAATGAGCTTACAAAGCTAGACACAAAACAACCATTGCTCATACCGGTAGTATCCTATTTTCTGACTGTAGTCCACAAGTGCTTTTGGGGTCTCTATGGTTTTAAATTCATGAAGAGAGAAACTAGTGGGGAAGAAATGCTAATGTGTGCCCCATTGCTAAAACTGTGGGCCTCACTTTCTAAATCGGGGAAATCTTTTCTTCAGACTACATTATTCTTGTTCAGATGGCATTTTAGGGAATTTTGCCTTTCACCAACTTCAGCCAAGGAAGACAGACATGAGACTTCCTGTGAGCACCATGATGAGCTGATGTCCTGCTAGTAACAGGATCACATTTGCAAGGAGAATCATGGCTAAATGCAGGATCCAGGTGGCAAAATTTCTGGAGGAAAGGGAGATTGTTGAGATTATCTGCACGACTCTGAACAACCACTCCTTGTGAGTATACCATGGAAACCACTGTTTTGCAGTTGGCTTATAAGTTGAATACCTAGGAGTCAGGGTTCCATCAAACTCACCCTGGCAACAGAGCTTTCTATGGACATTAAGCTTAACTGAGCCTCATTTCCTAATCACTTTTTGGATATATTATTTTTGTACTGTACTGGAGAGATTAAGACTCTTTGGATCAGCAAAATTTAGCTCTATTCATTGGATGACTTCACTTCTCTTTAGAGAAAAATAATTTAAATTTGATTTTAAAAGTCTTTGAAATATTGTTTTGGTTTTGTTATATGCCACCCAAAGTTACTTGTGAGATGGGTGGCCATACAAATTACATACATAAAAATAAATATATAAACATTTTTTTCTGATTATGCATTAAAAGGATATTTCAAACATGGATTTTGGAAAGTTAACAATGGATTAAGTGTCCACAGAAATTTTGGAATATATCTCTGCCAAACCTTTTGATAAAATAGGTAAAGTTGATGAGATGGACAGAGGATGTTGTAATGATGCTAGAGAACAAGAACAAGTTGCAACAGATAATGTTGAAATTATTTTGAAGGGGGACTTAATTATGATAAGAACCAAGAAGAATATAGAGAAAGATATGGAGATACAAATGGAACTGATGGATGACATATTCTCTAAAAAAGGATATATATACAACTTTTGAACCAGGAAATGGACTTCAATAACTTTTTCTTACTAGACATACAAAAACAACTCTATTAAGGATTCTATTGGAGGGGACAAACAAAAGGACAAATATTATTTATTGGCTATACAAAAAAAATCTGCTAAAGTTCTGAAAGAATTGCAGTTCCAACAAAAATAAAAAACTAGCTCTGGGACTCTTTTTGAAGGGACTAAAAATGAGATTCTTAAAAACTTAGGGAAAGTTTACAAAACTAGCTTATTCACCCAGAACTAAAAGAAGAAAAAATGTTGTATCTGGTTTCCCTTACTGGACTTTTGCTGGCAAATAACAATTGAGAGGATATTTGGATTTTGGTTTTTATTTACAAGATGAGCTACAGAATGAAGAGAAATTATGTATTTAGAGATGGAGATAAACTATTTTAAAATTGTTTTCAATTGGTGGGATGATGGGGAAAGTTAATCCCTTTTTTCTTTTTTCACACTTTTTTCTGTCTGTATATTACTGTTTGTATTTTTAATAGTTTGTATTTGCTTTCAATCATAAAATTGGTCTGGAAGAATCCTTCTCTGGGTTCCTCTTTTGCTTGGCTTTATTTACATACCTTGACCTTGTCCAAGTCTCTCCTAAGGATTCCCACAATGCCATTTCCTTTGGTGTTAGATGGCCTTTCAGGAAATCTGTAGTATCCTTTGAAAGAAGTGGACTGATGACAGACCTTGCAAATTCAGGGCCTCCACAGCTGTTAACAATCTGGATTACAGACAAGAAATCACAAATGAGAATTTTCAATAATCTTACATGGTTAAAGCGTGTTTGGAAGATCAATTTTTAGGCCTTTACAGGTAGTTCTTGACTTAAGACCATAATTCAGCCCAACATTTCTGTTACTAAGCAAGACAACTGTTAAATGAATTTGGCCCCATTTTATGATCACAGTTGTTAAGTGAATCCCTACGTTTGTTAAGTGAATCTGGATTCCCCATTGACTTTGCTTGGCAAAAGTTGGCAAAAGTTGATCACATGACCCCGGGACACTGCAACTGTCATAAATATGAGTCAGTTGCCAAGCATTTGGATTTTCATCATGTGACCATGATGGGGATGCTGCAACAGTTGTGTGAAAAATGGTCATAAGTCACTTTTTTTTCAGTGTTGCAACTTTGAACAGTCACTAAATGAACTGTTGTAAGTCAAGGACTACCTGTACTGTATAGGTGTCAAGATTTTGTATCTACCCCAGACTACCATTAAAGGTACCTTCCTATTACAGGACTTGACAACTACATGTTTTGTTATTTTTTCCATCATTGTCGTTAATAATGAATGACTATAACTGGATTGTGATTCCCCCAAACGTTTTGCAACAATTCATGTTACACTTTAAGGTATTGTTAAGAGTCCTACTTTTGCTGGAAAAAAACTAATTCAGCTACTTTTTGGAAACTGTAAAAATCTCCACATCTATCATAAATTTATTTTTATTTTAAGAAAGAGCATTCTGTTTTTTCTGCTTTTTTGGGGGGGGGTGTTATGTAAAATAGTTATGTAAAATAGAGTACAGAGAAGAGCAACAAAGATGATTAGGGGACTGGAGGCTAAAGAATATAAGGAAAGGCTGCTGGAATTGGGTATGTCTAGTTTAACAAAGAGAAGGACGAGGGGGGACATGATAGCAGTGTTCCAATATCTCAGGGGCTGCCACAAAGATGAGGGAGTCAAGCTATTATCCAAGGCGCCTGAAGGCAGGACAAGAAGCAACGGATGGAAACTAATCAAGGAGAGAAGAAACCTAGAACTAAGGAGAAACTTCCTGACAGTTAGAACAATTAACCAGTGGAACATCCTGCCTCCAGAAGCAGTAAATGCTCCAACACTGGAAGTTTTTAAGAAGAGACTGGACAGTCATTTGTCCGAAATGATATAGGGTTTCCTGCCTGAGTAGGGGGTTGGACTAAATGACCTCCAAGGTCCCTTCCAACTTTACTATTATTATTATTATTATTATTATTATTATTATTAGTCATGTGCTTGTCCAGAGTAAGAAATTCATGAGTTGACTCATTATATATTATAGCTTTGCTATTTCCATACTCAGATTATTTTGGGGAAACTGAAATAAATCCTCTCTATTTGCCATGAGCTTTTCAACCTCCCAGGTTACTCCTTGGAATATTGTAAATCAGTCCCTAATCTGGAATAGATGAATATTTAAACAGGCTAGAAAAATGTAATATGTGTCAAAAATCTGCCTATTGCTGGTTTTAGTTATACTTCTCAAACCTACTTCCAGAAATTGCATGCAACATGGCCAATTAGAATTCAGGGAATCAGAGGTCAACATATCTGGATGCCATTAGATGAGAAACTCTGGATTAAAATTCACTGAATAAGGGAGAAGGTAATTTATACCAGTTCCAGTGGTCCAAACAGGAAATGGACTAATTCTGAAGCACTTGGATTCTGAATATGTTTTTTCAGTTTGGTCTGAGAAGAGAAGAAAAACAAGTTAAATCTAAATCCATTTTATAACTGTTCAAAAATAAAATGCAAACAGCAAAAATGTTTAGCAACTTCAAGAAATGCCCAAGAAAATATCCGGCATATTTCAATATCCAGATGCTGTAAACTATTTCTCTCTAAAGTAACATAAATCATGTATCCAGGTTCTTCGACAAAGTCAAATTAGGTACTGTATTTACTGTATTATGACTGTACCTTATTCCCATGATCAGGTGGGCAGTTGGCTCTTGGCATTAGATCAATTATTGCAGGAATTACTAAGGACTAGATTGTTGATCCCACTTAATCCAGAAGAGTTCTTTTGAGGTTTTTAAGGAACATACAATTGTATTGTTAGTCAAACATTATGTTTTATTAGCAAGAGCTTGTTTAAATTATACGATGCAACTGCATTAACTGCAGTCCGCTGGGCAGGCCAAGCTTGAATTTTCTGCAGTGTAGCACCTGAAAGAGGCTAAACTATAAAGGAAACCCCAGGAAAGGGATTTATAAGAATGGTAAATGTGGTTATTGATATGAAAGAAAAACATATCCATTCTTTTTAGTGGTAAGGATTTGCTACCTCACTGCTATTTTCACAACAAGGCTCAAACAATAGATAGAAGCAGCTTGGCAACTGCTTGTAGCCTTGACCCTTCTCCCATCCTGCAAGAATCAGCATAACAGTATTGCAGTGTCACTTTCCGTGAGATGGGTGATCATATACATTTAATTAATAGATAAACAAATATAGTAAAACCATTCATCCATTTGTCTATCTATTCATCTACTTGTGGGTTATTTCCTCCAAGAGGGCAAGAGGTCTTACAAAGCACTCCTCCACCCACCTTCTTTTCCCACATAACATCCTTGTGAGGTAGGGCTTGTTAAGAAAGAAGGGATTTCTAGGACTGAAGGTAAATTTGGGCCTGTCTTGCCAAGTCCTATATCAATGCCTGACCCGTCATACCACACTACCTCTTATATGACACACTTGTTAAGGCTGCCTCAAGATTTGCACAGGTACTGAACTAGCCTATTCACCATGTTCTGCCAGTAGTGCAACATTTGCCAAAAAGGTAATGACGTTGCACACGATGCCTGTGAAGATATGGTTATTCAGTTTTGTACAGCTTTCACCTCTCTGAGTCATTTTTAGACAAATGCTGCAGAGGGGAAACCTTTTTTCTCTCTCTCTCAAGTACCTCAAGGACACATTGTCAGAAAGGTCTTGGAAAGGGCTGATGCATTTTTTTCTTCTGTATTACAGTCCAATGTATCTGCTAAACAGCATAGTTAATATTTCAACAACGAACATGCAGCATAAACAGTTTTCAAACCAATAAATAGAACTATCATTGTCAATAGTTAGCACTTGGCTGGGAATGATGTGAATTGTAATCCAACACATCTAAAAGCTCAGGGTTTGGCAAGGCTGCGGTAGGGACACACTGAGAACAATCAGTTTGAGGATCACCATTTTGGACTTGAGCTATCTATCCAGAACAAACTAGATCTTGCAAATAGCCCAGGTTTTTTTTATAAAGGTTTTAGGGTTCACATTTAAGAATTTGACTGCATGATTGGTGGGAGAAAGTTTAAAATTTTCTCTACAAACAATTGTTATATTCAGAATTTCTGCTTCTTGCTTTTCATGGACAAGTAGAAGTAGAAATTAGACTTCACTATATGACATGATATGTAACATGTATACAAGTTAATCCAATTACCAGTGCAAAAGAGTATTTATCCTACATGCTGATATTTTGTGAATGGGTATTTTGGATCTTCTTGTAATACTACTCTTGACAGTCACAGTCTCCAGCTCTCATTTTCCAGTAGTAAGTGTATGTATAGTGCAGTGTTCTCAACCTGTGGGTGACCCCATTTGGGGTCGAGACCATTTCACGGGGGTCGCCAATCCGCCATCTTTTCCTTAGCTGTGCTACTCCCTTTTATTCTAAAAGCCAATAGAATAGACTCTCTTGAATAGAGTCTAATTCTATTGGCTTTCAAAAGCCAATAGGAATTGTCCAGGCTGTCTCTGCCCTGCTGAGCCCGCCAAAAGTCCCATGCTGCAAATGGAGCTGCAAGTTGTCTACAGTGAAGGTGAGCTGTCTGGAAGTTTCCACCCCTCCTTGCTGAGCAACTACTAAAAATGTAAGTAAAAGAGGGCTAGGGGTGGGAGGCCGGCGGGTGCAGGGAGGGTTGCTGGCGCGCATGGGGCCCGGCGGGTGCCTTACCTCCCTTGGACTGGGCCAGCTGGTGGCCCAGCCAGTGGTCGGCCTGTGCCGTCTCTGCCACTTGCAGCTACGCCTCGGCCAGTGCAGGGGGCGGCACCACGTATGCGCGGTGCTCCCGGGCAGGGAAAGTCCTCGACTTACGACTGGTTGGGTAGTCCTCGACTTACGACCGGTTGGGGTCGCGGCATTAAAAAGGTTAAGAACCACTGGTATAGTGTCTCTTTGAGGATAATACTCAATGCATCTTATGAATAGGATAACATAAAAACTAATGCTTGAATTGGTTACTTTTTAAAGTGTCAGCTGCAATACATCACCATGTGCTTTTTTTTTTGTTTGTTTGCAACTTTGTAAAATTGTTTACTACCTACTCAGATTCTGAGCTCTTTGGCTATACAAACATAATATTTGGTTGATTCCCAATAACAGCATGAGGCAAGCAAATAAGCCATTACCTATCCAATTGAGACTAGAGAAAATTATACCCAATACCCTTTGCTTCTTACCAAGAGATTTAGTGCCAGCTTGATTTTCTGAAAGCAGTCAAGAAACTCAGTTTCATGCGGAGGTTTGGCGCGCAGAGTCAGAACTCCCTCTTTACACCAAAAGACAATAAACAATTTAAAAAAAATGTCACCTCTATGCATAAAGAAACATTAATGGGGAAACAGGTCTTTGTGACATGCTGACCATAAAATCTACATTCCTTGAGGGCACTTTGTGTTTGAAATACCAATCTCACCCAACTGGATGCCCTTCAGTGCAATGGGCTGTAACTTCCATCATTCCATAGCCAGCACAGCCAGTGGGGTTGGCCAGAATACATGTTATCTGTTAATGGCAGGATCTGAAGTTGTATATGTTTAGAGTCTCCATATGAGAAAAGGTTGATGCAGTCTACAAAGAAACAGCCACCTAACCCAGGGGTAGGCAACCTTGGCTCTTTTATGACTCGTGGACTTCAACTCCCATGCTGGCTCAGGCATTCTGGGAGTTGAAGTCCACGAGTCATAAAAGAGCCAAGATTGCCTACCCCTGACCTAACCCTATCAAGCATAGTTAAAAGCTACCTCTGTAAATACTGGTGGTCAAAATGCCACTATATTTTTCCTTCATGTTCCAGGCCGATCAGAAACAGAGCTATGTGGGTTAGGGGTTGCTTGGTTCTTAAAGGCCTGATAGACAAAACTAAATATTTCCCCAGTCCCTTGGGGAACACTGAGAGATGGATTGTTCTCATTGGAGACATTGGAGGTCTTTAACAATGCCTTTTACATCTCTATGTGCTTTGGTTATTGTTTCCTAATTGAAAGGTCATCACTGTTTATTCTACAGGAAGAAATGAATCATTGCACTTGGACCCAAGGTCACAATGGTGGGGGGATAAAATAAGTCCATTCTAACCCCAAATGGCCAGTGTTCCTACCTTCTGCCTCAAAACCTAAAATGAGAGACTAAGAAAGAGCTAGAAGTGAAAAAGAGGAGCCTTATTTATCTTGTTCCAATGGCTTTATTTTTGAACAGGAGGAGAGAAATGGAGCAAGGAAAGAGGTGAGTGGGTTTCAGAACTGGCTTGGAAGTCAGTATTTGAACTGGATCCTTCAAGACTTAAGGGATAGGGTATATATGAAAGTAGACATCACTAAGAGTACTAGCTTAATAATAATAAACTACATCATGTGGTGCAATGGAGTCATCATTAAAAAACAAACGTGGCTCTTGAAAGAGTCCTTGACCTGATGTTTGCTGCTTCTTTCACTTCCTTGATGTGCATGTAATGATTAAACAAAGTAAACATGAAATCTCATTTTCTAGTCAGCTGAAATTTTCAGAAAAAAACCTCATACTTCCGTTTATTTTGATTAAAAGTTGCTAGGGCCGCCAAGGCAAAACAGAATTATTGAGAAGTGGCTGGATGCTTCTAACCCCTGGACTGTGTTCCTATTTGCTTATAAATTATTTGTAAAATAATTTCTTGTCCAATTCCACAAAGGCCTGAAGAAAATTGACAAGGATTAAGAAAGCCACAAAGCCAATAAAAATGACATCTACTCTAGTATTGACCCATCCGTTCTGGGTCCTCTCTCTTAAGGAGGTGCATCCAATGGGGCCAAGAAGAAAAATCTTCTCCGTGGTGGCTCCCTCCTTGTGGAACATCATCCCTACAGAGATACGTTTAGCCCCCACTTTGACATTCTTTTGCAAGGGGCCCTGAAGATATGTTCTACAGCAGGCTTGGGGACCCAAAAGTGATTTAAGTGGCTGATCTGATTGTTGTTGCTAGGGGACTAAGTTTTGGGTTGGGTTTTGTACTGAGGTTTTATCTTTGTAAGCCACCCAGAGTCACTGTGAGAGAATTGGGCAGTCATATAACTTTTTAAACAAACAAACAAACAAACAAACGCAGCCCTTATACCATTATCACCCCTAAGCAGAACAAAAACATGTTCAAGTTGTTCTGGAAATTGAGGAAAAAAACTGCACGGGGTAGGCTAAGTCAAAGTAGAAAGGCTGCCCCATAGGCCACTATCCTTTTATCTCATGTACATTTTTCCAAACCTGTGTCATCCCATTTTGGACATAAACTAAGGATGCTTTCTTATCTCTTTTGAAGGAGAAAATCCCCTGAATTGAACACTGCACCCTCTTTTATTCAGTTTCTCCACAGCCAATGATTTAAGCTATTGATACCTGCTGGCCCTTTCTTCTTGTTCTTCTTTCCCTTCTTCCTTTGGTTCAGTTGCCTGAATGCTTCTGCTGCTTTTTGAAGCTTCGCAACGAAAAGTTCAATATCATCGAGGGTGCAATTCAGTATTTGCTGCAAACACATAAATGAGAGAACTTAAAGCAAAACAAACAGCCAGAAGCAATCCATGTTCACATGAACTTACTCTGCATCTCCCTGATTAAGAGTCAAAATGTTCACTGCAGCTTTAACCATGAGCATTCAGTGTGATCAACAAGTACATTTTGTTTTAAATAATCACCACTAGGAAATTGGGGCTGCCTCCAGACAAGGTGCAGAGAAATACTTGGACAAATGCATCTTTCTCTGATGTGTTCTTATTTACATTTAAAAAAAACATTTTCTTTGATAACACATGGACAATCAACAATTGTTATCAAAATGGATTTCATCATCAAGTGGTTACTTCATCTTCTCCCATATATTTTTTTAAATTACTATCACTAACCGTTTCTTTTTCAATCTTCTGTGCTAAAACTGCACGAGACTCCTCATAATCTTGAGAGCTACTACTTCGTCGATCATATTCTGCCCAAAAATACAAAAAACAAGTATTGTCAATGGAAAGAAGTCCAAACAGGAGTGAAATTAAATTATTTGTTTAAAAACATTGCCTGTATCAAGCTATCCTATTTCTTTGACGTGAATATTATGAATACGGATATTATGGATTGTGTCAAAGGAAATGGGAATTAAAAGTATTTATTAAAAACTCAGAAGGTGGAAACATCCCACATTAATTTATTTTGCTGCTCTGGATGTAACAATCATGCATCTAAGAAAATTGGCAGAGCTTCATCAATTTGCCCAACTCCACATTCTGTTTTACAGAAAGAGCTATGTGAGCTTCATTGCCAAGGATTTGTCAGCTGCAATGAAATTGTTCTTGAGCACAACCCCCATAAGCCTTTAAAATGTGTCCTTTTTAAGCCATCCCTGCAGCAATACTGAGTTTGACTTGTTTTCAAACAGTCTTTTGGGGAAGAAAAGAATCAGAGTGCCATGTTTTGGAAGTAAATACACTGTAGTACTAGCTACTGCATATCTAACACAGTCCAGAATCCAGGTGTTCTCATCTGATAAGTTCAACTGACATTACAAAATGTCTCTCTACAAACATTATGTTTTAAATCATCTTGCAATATACAGATATACATTGAGGTGCGAAGCTGGCTGATAGTCAGGTTCAACTTTTGGGATACATGAATGATTAATTGTAATGCAAATGCATAACTTGCTTTAAAAAGCATACACAAAGGACTTCCGGTTCCGGATCACGGCGCTCGCAGCTGTGTGAGGAGATGGCTCTCCTCGCCAGCTGAGTTTGTGCTGCTGGTAGACCCTTAATCGGGTGAAAAAGCTGCCTTGGAGAGGCGGCTACTGCTGAGGAGGTCCTTGTTGTCCATGGGAGAGTGGCAGCTTCTTCCACGGCCTGAGATTGCTCCTTTGGGCTGACGGTGGAAAGACCAGCCAGTAAAATGGCCGTTCACCTTGCTGCCGTAACCAGAAGTCAGAAGAACATCTAAGCACAGGAACCAGCGTGGCTGAGCTAGGTGAGACTTTTTTTTCCCCCTCTCTTGGTTCTCCTTTTTCTTTTGTGCCTGTAAAAAGCACTTTTGAAATTATTTCCCTGCTCTAAGAAAGTGGCATTTGTGAGGTGGGAAAAAGAAGCTTGAATGGACTGAATTAATTTAAAGTGATTTTTCTTTATTTTTTAATTCACTTTGGGGTCTTGGAAATTTTTTTTAATATTGAATCTACTATTGGATTTGAATTCTCCTTTCTTCTGTCTTTCCTGATCTTGTTTATGAGATTTTTGGTCTCTTGGGAGAAGATTTTACATTTTACTGAGGACACCTTGTGGAAAAAGTTAAAATTGCAACTGGCTCTCTTTTCTGATGGTGAGACTGATTTTATTTATTTATTTATTTATGAGACTTATATACCGCTTTAAGTGCAAGCACTCTCTAAGCGGTGTACACCAGTAAGCAATGTATATATATATATTTACATTGCCCCCAACAATCTGGGTCCTCATTTTACCTACCCCGGAAGGATGGAAGGCTGAGTCAACCTTGAGCTGGTGAGATTTGAACCGCTGACCTGCTGAACACAGTCAGCTAAAGTGGCCTGCATTACTGCACTCTAACTGCTGCGCCACTTCGGATTTTGACCTTCAGATTATCATAAAAGGAAAATACAAAGAAATTTAACAGCTGTACTGGTGGGGGTGGATACTGATTAAATGTTCTTTGAACATAGCCTCTACTAAATGATACAGACTGTTTCTAATTACTTTTGAAATGCAGCAATCCTATGTTCAACTTGACTATAAGCTCATACTGGAAAAACTTTATGAAGCTACTGACGAAATATGTTTGCAAATAAAAGAATTTACTATGGAAATAAAAAACAGAAATTCTGCTTTGAATTTACAAACTGACTCCCAGACTTTAGCTGAGCATTCTATAGACCAAAAAACAACAGAAGCGGGATTAACTAAAGGTAAAGAAGATTCCACTTTACTTTATATGCATGCTAATGAGATCTCCGAGGAACTAAAAAGGACTATAACTAAACCACTTACAACTCTAATACCAACAGAAATGGACAGACAAGCTCAACGAACTGAGAACTATGGTAGCTTGGATAAGCAACTATTTCCTACAAAGTTGGACATAACTGAGCCTGCTATTCATCAGTTTCAAATGTGGAGACTTGACTCTTTAAAACAACAAGAGATTACTTATAAAGAAGCTAGGTCTCTAAAACAGAAAAGGGGACGTTTTATTTGATCCAAAGGATACCACAAGGCATTAAAAAGTGACTTGTTTATTGATATAGAGGCGTTGTTATGGAAACCTGTCTGGCATAAAAGGAAAGCTAGAATAAGATTTAAGAGTGTGTGATTTAAGGCTTTATGTAATGGGTTTAAAGGGCTAATTAGATATGGACTGATTTATGCTTAAGACAGTTAAATAAGATGTTAGATTGAATAAAAATTAATTAAAGGTTTGAATTTAATAATAAGATGTTTGTTTATGTATCAATATGTTTTGGATATAGTAATTTGGGGAGGAGGTTAAAGGAATTTGATACAGATATTGAGGGATTGATTGATAATTATAAAGTATAATAGAAATAAAAAGGTATTTTTCTTTTTTCTTGGTTTTATTTTTGCTTTTTGTTCTTTTTTTTCTTTTTTTTGTTTTGAATTAATATTTTTTTTATCAGGAATGATAGCTATTTTGTAATGGAAGAAGAATAAGATAAAAGAAGAAATGATACTAATAAATGTTTATTGAATATGTTAAGGAAAAAGGCAATGGGGAGACACCTGAAGTATTAATTATGCATTTAGATTAGAAATATGGAATATAGCAATTGAAATAGTTAAGCTTAACACAGGATTTGGATTTGTGGATCTACTTAGATGAAAGGTTATTGAGGATTGTCATGATTGACTTAGTTCTATTTAAATATATTAATTTGAATATAATATGTTATTAGAGGGAAAAGAGGGGGTTTTTAATGATATATTTTTTAATGATTTAATCTGAATTTTATGAATATGATCTTGTTTGTGGACAATTGATTGCCCTGCCACCACGTTGATTCTTAAGCACATGTTTGTAAAATGAAAAAAACAATAAAACTTGTTTTAATTTAAAAAAAAGCATACACAAAGGCCATCTCCCTTTATGGACATTATTTCTCTTTTGCAAAACTAAATTTTAAGATAGGATTCTAGTTCTCAGGATCAAAGTATAGCTCTGTTAAAAAGTTCCAACAAAACAATAGTTTAAAGTATCTTAAACCTTCAATTAAACACGTTTTTCAATATCAAACTGACACGACGGCTGGGCATGATGGGTTATAGTTCCTTGTGCTTGAGGGCATCAAGGCAGGAAAAGCTGCCATATACAATAAAAGTTCCCTTCAGAGAAAAACTCAAGCTTTGTAATTTTTTCCTCTCTGAAGAAAATCAGCAGATGAAGCTTTCCTCTGCATTCTATCATCAGATTGGCTAAAAGTTTATCTCTTAGTGTGATATCCATTATGCAATTATAAAGTTGCATCAAGCTCCTATTAATTAAAAAAGGCAGCAGCTCTGTTCTGGTCCTTCTGGTTTCTTCAGCAGGAAATCCGCATGTCCACCCATTTTGCATAAATTGCTGTAAAGTAGCAGACAGATTAACATCCTTTATTTCTTCTTGCAATGCTTGTGCTCTTGATGGAGCTACAGCACCCTTTTTCGTTTAGCTTTGGGCGTGTGAATTACCTGCTAATTCCCATGCCAAAAATCTCTGCTGTTCTTTGAAAAACCCAACATATGTAGGGAGGGGTTCTTTTTGCTGTAATCAGTTCCATCATCCACCGCCTCCTACTCACTGGGGCAAATATGTTCTTGTGCTGTTCCCCAGGAGGAGGCGATGGATTAGAGGAGAAAAAGAAACTATGACTTTGTGATTGCTGGAGGAACTAATGACCAGAGAGGGTGAGTCCCTAGATGAACACCTGAAAATGTTAGAAAATTAGTTATCAGTTAATCAGTAGCTAGTACCAGCTGGAAGTGTACACAAGGTTTGTGAGATGGAAAACAGACTATGTATCGAGTGGGTAGCTCTACATTCAGCAATAGATTTCTGGTTGATTTGTAACAGACTGGCAAGAATCTCTAACGCCCTAATTGTTTAACAGCAACAGCACCAAAGACTCCTACCTCACCTCTGTTCTGATCAGCAAGAATCAAATCAGTTCTGAGGGCCTATCTATTTTTGTATATATGCAGTTTTTTGCATGAGGTTCCAGTAAAGCCCAAGGGTTCTATTAGAAACAGAAATGTTGCAAAGTTGAAGCCTGCCTTCCCCATCTATTGACACACAAACCACCTGCCACCATCTTTTTAAATCTGTTATTCTTCGGGACTACTGTTCCCAGAACTAAAGAGGTTCTGAAGAGGTTGAAGGAGGAGGCTCCAGTACAGTGTAGACATCTAGGTGTAATTCAGGCTGTTCAAAGGCCAAGGGGAAGGGAATTTAAGCATGCCATGTTTTAATTATCATATGGAAACATTCATGAATGCCTTGTTTCCTTGAGTCTTTAAGATATGCCTTGATTTTTCATTGGCCGTGTTAGTGTGGCAATGAGAGGCTCCTGCAAATGCTGCCAGAACTGGCCCTCAGGTCCAGGTGCTTGGCTTGGTGCTCAGTCTGAAGTGCTCAGGGATGTGGTGGAATGTAGTCTGGATTCCCAGGAGGGAGGGGCTGCATTCTAGAGAGCAAACAGGCAGCAAAGCATGGAAAGTTTGCTTGGGAGAAAAAAGGGTTAGGAAGGCTCCTCCCTAGCAATTCTCATAGTGATGCCAAGAATCAATAAACTGGTTTATTTTGGCAAGATTTTTTTCCGTAGCTGAGGAGCAATAAAGGACACCACTCAGAAATAATTCTACTTTGAATTTTTTGTTCTTGGGGCCTGATAGAGCAGTGACTATTTCTGTTACCTGGCTGGGAAGGAGAGGCCACACGATTCTGGTTGTTCTTTCGGGAGCCTCTGCTTTCATCCTGGAAAGGGATGGGTGCAGGCCCTTGAGGTGGGGGAAGGATGGATTGCCTCTGCTTGATCTTCTCTTGGTTCACTCTGCAGAAGGAAAATAGAAATGGTTTTGATAACTAAAAGATGTACTATTCACTCTAATAGCAGGCAGAGAGCAAATGAATTTGAACCTGTGTTTATTAATTTGGATTTTATTGGATTTAAGAGCAATGTTTAATTATGGAGAGGAGGAGTACAAAACATTTCATAATATAGACCTCAATTATGGATGATCTAACAGTGCAAAGCCTTTCACTGACATCCACTGTACAGATTAAGTTGTTCGGCATATGTTGATCATTGTAGAAATCTCTGGTTTCTAAAGTTCCACAGACACAATGACATATTTGCTCCATTTCTGAGGGGGACATTTTTATCCTCCATTTTTCCCAGGTTTAGTACTTCTGTTTTTACGTTGTTTATTATTGTGGCTTTTACGTTTTTATCTGTTTTTATTGGCTGTTTTGTTATTGTAGTGCACCCTCCCTTTGGAGGGAGATGGGCAGCTATATAAATTTGATAAACAAATACTTTCAAGATTATCTCTGATTTATGTGAAATTTCTAAGCATGATCAGTCCTTTTTTTTCCTGCTCGCCAAGGGTTATGAAATGCACACAGCAGTTATATGGATAATAAAGACTAATATGGATGAAGGAATGTTTCTTTAATGACCAAGCCTTCCAGGTACTGAGAAACAGCAAACTAGTGGGCATCATAAGGCATAAGTCCAATTGAGGAGAACTTTTAGGTAAATTTCCACAGCAACTAGGACATGACGCTTTTGTAGAAATTCAAAATTGTTGGAATATTCATGAGCAGGAAGAGTCATGTGGTAACTCAGTCAGCCAATGTGAAGAAAGTGCTACTGAGTCTGTGCAAAAGAGTATTGAGTTAGAAGCTGAATTTTCATCTCAGGTCTGTCTCTGTATCTCTCTGTAAGAAGTCTTCAATTGAGCTATGTTGCTGTAAAGAAGAATGTATGGTATTGTAAATATTTTGATATAAATATAAAGAAGTTATTTTGAATCAGCTAAATGCAGTCAACTGTGAGAGCTTCTGATTTATTTTTTTTCACCAATAGAGAAATTAAAATTCTCTAACAGGTTATGGGTCCAGAGCTTTCTAAGGACTGCATTGTAATTTAAAGCTGGAAGAAATTGCCTGTGTTTAGAAAGTATAAGAACAAGGCAGAATTAGCAGAATGGCTGCAATGGAATTTAAGGAAAACTGTGTGCCTCGTTTGGGCCAGAAGAGTTACATTATATGGGCTGCAAAAATGGAATGTTTGCTGAAAGCTAAAGAGCTGTGGTATATTGTAGAAAATCCACCACAAGTATTTGCAAGTGCTGATCAGAAGAGTCATGATCAAGCAATGGCTTATCTCATCTTGAATTTAGATGATGAACAATTTCTAAATGTTGCAAATTTAAAGACTGCAAAGGAGATTTGGTTGAAGTTGAGAGCTGTGCACGTGAATGTTTCTGCATGCAATATAGTGCAATTGTCAAGAAAACTTTACAGGGCTTGTTTGCAACCAGGTGAATCTGTGGAACAGCATTTAAATAAAATGCAAAGTTTATTTTTGGACTTAGAACAACGTGGGATTAAATTCCCTGAGTCCCAGAAGGTTTTACTGGTGTTGAGCAGTTTAGATAAAACCTGGGACACAGTTTCTGCCATATTTGAGTGTAAAGAAGAGTAAGACTTAAATTTTGAGGCTTTAACGGCATGTTTCCTTAATGAACAAGAAAAGCACCATTTTAGAAGCAGCCAGAGGAGGTGAAATTCCTGAGGAAGGGGTCCAGACTGCAAGTCTCCGAAGAAGAAACATTTTGCAGGCACAGAGCTAAGCAAGAAAAGAATTGCTACATTTGTGGAGCAAAGACACATTTGAAAAGGAACTGTTTGCAAAGGAACTGTTTGCAGCGAAGGACATTTGTGCAATTGGAAGAAAGGGACAGCAAAAGGCAAGAAAGCTCAGGTTTGTGGGCTATCAGCCAGGGTCAAAAGAATATCGCTTTAGCGATGGAAGTAAAAGAATTATAATTTCAAGGTCTGCTAATTTTGCAGAACAAAATTGGGACAGAATTAATGCAAATTCTGGGTATGTCTCACTTAATGACGGTGATCTATTTAATGACAATAACTTATCTAATGATAAAAAAATGATTATTGAAGATGTCCATGTTCAGGAAGGAGAGGCTGAACAAGACATGAAGCCAGAAAGACTTGAGACACAAGAGCAGTTAATACCACGTAGGTAAAAGCAATGTAACAAAGGAATTCCGCCTGACAGGTATTCTGCCAGCAAGGTTTGCAATGTGTGGTATGAGCCAAGAAGTTATAAAGAAGTGTTGGCATTACCAAAAGCTGAACAAGAAAGCTGAAGGAGGCCATGGATAAAGAGATGAAATCCATGGGAGACCGTGAAGTATTTAAATCAGTGACTTTGCCACAGGGAACCAAAGCTGTGGGTTGTAAGTGGGTATATAAGAAAAAGGTATTGCCAAATGATGATGTACAGTTGTTGCAAGATTTAAATATTAATGTAAAAGAATCTGTAAAGGTATTTGAAGACAATGCTGCCTGTATATAAAAATGGCAACTGGTGACAGGGTGAAGAATAGAAGTAAACATATAGACATTAAGTATTGTAATCTCAGGGAAGCTGTAAAAGGAAAATTGATTAGTTTACATCATTGTTCTTCTGAGGATAATTTACCAGACATGATGACTAAACCATTGGGTAGTGTTCACTATGGAGAATGTGTTAAGTCAATAGGTCTGATGTCTCTTCCTGTTATGAAGGGAGGAGTGTTGGAATATTCATGAGCAGGAAGAGTCATGTGGTAACTCAGCCAGCCAATGTGAAGAAAGTGCTACTGAGTCTGTGCAAAAGAGTATTGAGTTAGAAGCTGAATTTTCATCTCAGGTCTGTCTCTGTATCTCTCTGTAAGAAGTTTTCAATTGAGCTATGTTGCTGTAAAGAAGAATGTATGGTATTGTAAATATTTTGATATAAATATAAAGAAGTTATTTTGAATCAGCTAAATGCAGTCAACTGTGAGAGCTTCTGATTTATTTTTTTTCACCAATAGAGAAATTAAAATTCTCTAACAAAAATCAGTTCCAGATTTATCTTATTTATTTTTATCCCGCCTTTATTATTTTCTTTTATAAATAACTCAAGGTGGCAAAACATACCTAATATTCCTTCCTCCTCTATTTTCCCCACAACAGTAATTCTGGGGGGGGGGTTGCGGGTGATACTGAGAGAGAGTATGCACAACTGGCCCAAGGTCACCCAGCTGGCTTTCATGGCTGAAGTGGAACTCACAGATTCTGGTTTCTAGTCTGGTGCCTTAACCACTAGATCAAACTGGTTCACATCTCTGTCTGATCTCATAGCATCAGCTGGTTTGGGAACATGAGTCAATTTATTTCTAGCTCTGTGGTAGTTTATTTGAAGCCAGAGCATAGGTAATTTTTTTCCTGAACTTGTGGTTCTGCAGAGTTTGTGGTTGATTTCATTTTCACTGATGAAAAGAAATGCATCATCTTGTCTTCCGGGGACCAAAGCGGCCACTGTTTTCTCTCACCAACTTACCTAGCATACCATTTACCTTCCTACTCCCTGCCTTGTTCCCAATAATTATCTACAAGCATTGCACTGCGGTTAATATGTAATCAAGATTGCAAGTAGGTGGATAAAATGCCTGATTATAAAGTTGCTGACATACTAGCATTTCACCATCGGGAGAAAAAAAACAAAAACACAAGAGCCTTTTAAATGTGCAATAGTTGTCAGATGTGGAGCCAGTTAAGTATCTCCTCAAAGCAGCTGCTTTGACATGTTTGTTAAAATGGCTGAATAAATGGACACATTGTGCACTGAAAAGATAGTAATGGTTTCTTTTATTTCCCTTTTATATGAAACGGGGAAGAGGGGATTGAGTAACAGCAACAACTGTTCCAGACAAGGCTCCAACTGGATAGTGTCCTTTGGTGAATTAGAAGGGAAATGGATGAACATGGATGGACTCATATTATTGGTATACAATCCCCACATTTCGAGGTTCAAATTATTTCTATGGGAATTGAAGGTAGTATGCAACTATCTCTAATCCTATCAACTTTATAATATATTTTTTCATTTGCAAATGCATTAAGCAGGGCTTCATCTGTGCCCTATTAAGTTCCAGCAAGATATATTTAGGCACTTGCACAAAGTCACTGCTTTCATTTCCTAATCCTAGAAACTGATTCACAATCATTTGCAATTAGTCTTCAACTGATGCAAAAAAATCCTGAACAATGAAATTTAGCAGAATGGTTTCTGAACAATTGTGCTGAAATGTGATAGCATTAAGAGGTGAATTTCCACTTGTCTTTTTGGCTATTTCCTGTTACTGAAACCTGTCTGAAAGACTCCCATCCAATTCTCATTCATTAGATTTGGGTTTCAGGACGTCTTCCTGAGAGAAAGCAATTTTGCTGCCAGAGATAATTCTGTCCTCCATCTTCATGGAAAATGGGTAAAATGCCTCAAAAGTTTTGCTACTCAAAGTGAGCTCCCACCACTCATTTTCAAACTGAAATAACTCAAATTGGAGAGGAAACTTGTAACCCCCGTAGTCCAAGAAATGCATTCTCTGGGCACCCTGCTAGAGTTTGTCCATATACAGAAGCCACTTACTTGAGGGTCTGTGGCCGTATCTTCTTTCCAAACTTATGGTCAGCAAGTGCACTTTCTATGTCCTCATGAACCATCTCTGCCTAAAACACAGAATCAGAAATAGATTGGGGAAGGAAAGATGCAATGGAAAAATGCAGACAACCTGTTTGACAGACAAGCATTAATCAACTGCCCTAAATCTAGATTTTGTTGATGATGAATGCCTTCAGTTTGAAAACAAAGTGCAAAAGGGAAACATACAGGCACAGGGCATCGATTATTTTATGCGGCTGTGAGGGTTGCTAGCAGTGGAATTTCACAGAGAGCTTATTCAGATTTGAAGCAAAGGTCCCCTTCAATCCTCAAGTAAAACTACATTCTGGTTTTAAAGTTTTAAAGTTTCAAAATGCAGCCAACAAATATATAGCTGTATGATTCATGGAGGGTGTTTTGCTGCTGTGTAAACATATCCTCTTTTAAGGGGAGCTCTGCAAAACTCTCCTATTTGTGAAAACAGTTCCTTGCTTCCATTTGTTTTGGCAGAGAACTTCAATGTGGAGCTTCTGCTGGCATGGAAGTCTTGGTAGGGCTTTATCCTCCCTTCTCCAAGCCATGAGATAATTTTGAAACTTTAAATATTCAGGGGTTTTTTTCCCAAAAGAAGAGGAAGTTGAAGGGGACCCAGACATCCAGATATCTGGGAACCCTCATGTATAATTTCAAAATGACTGATGTTTCCTCCCAGTTAACTTATAAGGGAAAGAAAAAGGCTTGCAAGGCATCCTGCTACATAAATCAATTGTTCATGGAGTTTCTACCACAGAAAGATGTTTATCAACAGAAATTACAATGCTGGCATGAACTAGGCTCATAACCACCAAGTGTTTGTTGTAACTACTCCTAGATTAACCAACCAACCAACCAACAACCAAGGGCACTTCCATGTAAGGTCTTCAGGCCAGTTCAGAATCAGCTTCAGACTTGTCAAGCTAATGATACTATGTCCAGGAATTGAGGTGGTTTATTACTAGCTCAGTTGCAGTGTACTGCAGTAAGTGTACAAGATTCCATGCTTGAAGCCTTGATGCTCTGAACAGCTGCTGTCCTTTTGGCGGGTGATCTTGCCTCATGTAGTTCCTGGATCCTTTCTCTTCCCTTCCCCCCCCCCCAGCTGCAGTAGCATCATTCTCAGGATTTCAAGGACAACATCAGTGAAGATGTTCAGAAGTGGGCTTCAAGCTGTTTTGAGGAATTAGTGAGTAGAATGTGATGAAGTTGGCCAAGACATCTGTCCAGAAAATGGCCATTACTTGATCCCATCCCTGTTATCATTCATCATCTATCATGCACAATCCCCAAAGGAAATTAATCAATGTGGATGATGCATAAAGTAGCAGAGGATTCTGCACTCAGAATCAGAAAAGGGCCACAGCCATCTTACAAAATGACCTCAAAACCATGTCCAGTTATTTCTATTTGTCTCAAAGAATCACACAGCAAAAAGCACCAAATACAGCTCCATAGTCTTCAGGCAATGGTTGTTGATCATCCCAAGTTCTAGGCCAGCATATAGTTGTCACTGCAAGCAGAGTTTTGCCCACGTGCCACAGGAATGCTTCTCTCTAGGAATATCTAGGTCCCTTTTCTGAAATCTGGCCATCTAGTTGAACTGGGGAAGTGTGCCTTTCCCACAGCTGCCCCTATCTTGTAGGACACCTTCCCCTCAGCAAACTGGAAAACTCTGCTCTTTTAGTCTTTGGGATGACCATCAAGACTTGGCTTTTTATCCAGATACTGGGATAATGTGAGGCTGTTTTGGGTTGGCTGTTGAGGCATCCCAAGGGAATGATTGAGGCGCCAAGTTGTGTTTTATGGTTTTTATAGCTCAGGATTTAATTGCTTTTGTGAGTTTCCCAGAGTCGTGTTTTAAGATGGACAGCCATATAAATCTTAAAAATAATAAAATGATAAAATAAAATAAAATTTAAAAACTCCGAGATCTGGAACAACCTTTTATTTGGGGGAATTGGTTGGGACTGTCACTCTACTGAGTCCTCATAACCTCTTTTAGCTCCCTCATCAAAAAGAACTGCCACTCACCTCCACTTCATCACAATTAAAGAAGTGAATGTCAGGTTTGTGCTGTTCAGAGTCTTGACACACCAGCAGGAGGATGGAGGTATATCGCATCTGATTCAGGACAGTCTGGCAGTGCTGGACTGTTGGCAGAAGGAAGTCTTCGAGCTCTTCCTGAAAAGCAACACCAAAGAGAATGTGGAATATACATAAAGGGATGCTCAGACAGAGATTGCATTTTCACATTGAAATGGCTCTTTCCAAAAGAAGACCACGAACAAAGGACTGTTTTGAGTTGCCCCTAGGACTTTAAATCCATTAGCAGCTACATTCTCAGCATCAGAGTGGCAACGCTATTGCTGGCGCACATTATTCAGCAGGGACTGAAAAAAAGGGAGCATAACTATTGGTACTTGTGATAAATTGGGACATGTTGAAAAAAAAAACTGATGAGGATACATAACTCTTTTGTAATGATCTGTTTATATCTTGCCTTAATAATGGATTCTCTCAATGCCAACCAGAAAAATTATCCTTAACCCCTCAGAGGTAGTTCTTTCAGTTTATACATTTGACTAAGAGTGGACTGTGAGCATTATTTATTCAAATAAAATCTCTCTGGGCTTTCTAAAAGGTAGGCATGACTCTTTGTATTTAGTTTAACTTGATAGAAGTTCAGTATTTTTTTTCTGAGCACTACTATAGAGTTTCTTTATTTCTTATTTGGAAAATAATTTGGAAAATTTCCACACTTTTGTTGTGGAAATTAGTTTCATTCACACATCATATGTGTGATATCATATGACCATGGTGGCGAACCTATGGCATGCGTGCCACAGGTGGCATGCAGAGCCCTCTCTGTGGGCACGCACACTGTCACCCCAGTCCTAGGCCTTCAGCTTTAGGCCTCCGCTGCCATGTGCAAAAAAGAGAAAAGGTTCAATCAATCAATCAATCAATTTCAACTTCTCGGGGGAAAAAAAAAAGACCTCGCAAAATTTGATTGATTGATTGAACTTTTTAGTCCCACCTAGTCTGCCGTTACCACTGCAGCCACGCCCACCCAATGGGCCACACCCACCCGGCACCCAATGATACATAAGTGGGTTTTGGGTTGCAGTTTGGGCACTCGGTCTCTAAAAGGTTCGCCATCACTGTCATATGATGTCACATCGTGACGACATGCTAGCCATATGACCGCAGAATCTCTTCGGACAGCTCTGGTTCAACAGGCCTTGAAACAGAGATGTACATCCCCCCCCCCCAGTTAGCAATGACGAGCAGAATAAAATCCGCAGGGCCTCTTTACCTTACATATCAAGTACCATACCTTACCATAACTAGACCTAGTTTGTAATAAAATAATCATATTTTTTTATCTGCTCCAAATTTCTTTTTCTATAATTTTAGTTAGGGATGGAAGCATGAGCAAAATACAAAAACAAATCATGGTGATCCAGAAGATCACAAATAAACCATGTTTCCCCACTCATACATCATGTAAGCCATAATTGCAATTGACAAGACAGTTATTTATTATCCCCAATGAAAACATGGTTTATTTACCTGTCTTGTTTGCACCTAATGCTAATCCAGAAACAAATAAATCACTCTGTGGCTAAGTGCAATCTGTAGGCCCAGTCTTTATCATTTTGATGTTCCTGTAAATGCATTATCTCATTAGATCCATCCACAATATGGGAATTATAGTCCAACCAACTTGGAGGGTGCTAGATCAGGGGAGGCTGCCTTCTATTATGTTTCTATTTACCAGCACAGCTCCTAATCTATCAAGACCATTTATTCTAATTGTAATGTGAATAACCTCTCTTGTCCAACACCCAATGTTTTGGCAGAACAGAAAGCATTTCCATTAAAGTGCAATTCATCACTCTGCTCAGTCAGCTTGATTAGATCAGTCCTATCCTACTGGAATAGAGGCACACAGACAACAAGGTGCTTGTTATGCACGTAGGCGGAAGAAATTGGGCAGACTTTTGACTTTTTGTTATGGTTGGTCTGAGCATGAATTCCATGCAGTTTAATATTCTTAGAGAAGCCTATGGCAATTCATCAACCCATTGAGGAAATAATATGCAATGCGTTTATGTAAATCTTAAACATTCTAATGTACATTTGGCATTTTGCCACACCATCCCCCTCCAAAAGAGGTCTTTGCTGCTTACCTGAGTTCCACAATCCAACAGCCGAATAGATTTGTCATTCACCTGCAGCAGCATTTCCTGCGCCCAGATCTTCTCTTTGGAGTTCAGCTGTTTGAGCTTCCTGACGGCATCTTCCACTGTTACAATGGCCTCACTTTTATCCATGATGAAGGTAGCCAGGTGCTGGAAAGAGGGGGAAACACCCCGTAAGGTCAAACAGGGGTGATAAACAATTTAACTCCAGAGCTTGATAGTATTCATGGAGTACATGCGGGTTCATAGAGACAGCTAACTCTGGTTTTTACAAGTGATAACAGCTGAAATAACATTTTTTAAAATTTGATTTATTAGATTTTTTTATCCCACCTTTCTTACTTTAGAGGTAAGTCAAGATGGCGAACAAGCCTAATACTCCTTCCTCCTCCTATTTTCCCCACAAGACCAATCCTGTGAAGGGGTGGGTGGGCTGAAAGAGAGGGAAATGGCCCAAGGTCACCCAGCTGGCTTTCAGGGCTTAGATAGGCTAGAATTCACAGTCTCCTGGTTTCTATTCCGGTGTCTTAACACTAAACCAAACTGGCTCTCTGATTTTGGCTCTCCCCCAATTCTATGATGCAAATACTGCCAGTGTATAAAAAAAAAATCACTGCTATAGATTTGATGGTTTTGTTTATCAACAGGCTCTCAATCTTGCTTTACAGAAGATATTTTGCAAAAGAGCTATGTGAACTGATAAGGACCTGCAGCCAAATTCTAGGTCCTGTTTTGAAGAACTATTAAGTACTATATATTTAAACACACGTGGCAGCTCTTAGTTCTCTCTCCCAAGTGCAGAGTCCTTTAGAGTGAGACCACAACAAGGCATTCAGCTTTCTGGAAGCAATAAAAAAAATAAAAAAAACAGCCAGGCATGATTGGACTTGTAATAATTCCACCTCAGCTCCAAACCTTTTGTCTTAGTTTGAAGGGGAAAAAGCCCTACTTGGCTCAACAGTTTGCTTTCTAGATGTGAGGATTTGCATAAATAGGCTATTTTTGTGCAGGCCCTACTGATAATAATGCCAGGAGCAAGCAGCATTGTTATCAAACAGTGCAATCAAGCACACCGGAAAGGAGGCCTTTTCCTAATCTCCACCTGCCTGCTGTTGTTGACTGATGAAAAGAAGCTGTTCTTCCTTGACTCAGGAAAAATCCGCACAATCAGTGGTGGGATTCAAATATGTGAACAACCGGTTCTCTGTGAGGATGCCGCTTCCAGAAGTCCATTCTGAGCCCGGGCAACAAAAAATTAGCTCCCGGTTCTGCTGAAATAGTGTGAACCAGCTGAATCCCACCACTGCACACAATGCTCCCACTTTGGCTTTATCATCCAGCAGAGGAAATTGTAAAGACCCTTCAAAATTACATTAATCCATTCTGCTAGGAAACTCAGATCACAGTACTCGCTGTGAAGAGTCCAGCTTCTTAGATTATAAGTTTGACCATTGTGGACCTTCTTATGCTGGTGCTGCACTTGACCTCCTTCTTATAATCCAGCAAGCAAAACACATGTTCACGTAATTTTGCACTTTGCTGGCTTGAAAAAAAATAACAGCTCAACAGTATTGTATCTTTTGACAACACTTTCTGCTGCCAAGGTTAAGTTGAATTCCCCACTCATACTTGCCAAATTTCTGTCCATCTGAAAAGGAGCTATAAGATTTTTCCTGGGAGGTTGAAAACCTTTTTAGTTTCCTCAATCTCTTTTTGAAAGCAAAGCTAAGAAACCAGGCTGGTTAATAAGATCGGACCACGTTTGCAACTGGAGAAGCGGCAAAAGACATAGCAGCTTTTTTCCCCTTTAATTTCCTCACTGCTACAAAGGACCTATTCCCACTGAGGCTCTGCAATGGAGGAGGACATGCTAAAATGGCACTTCAACTGGTAGAGAATCAGAGAGAGCTGGACCTTTACTCTGGCAATAACATGGACATTTTGGTAGCCCTTGGAGGAATGATTTGCAAGCATCAAAATTGCTGCCAGGCTTCCAGGCATGAAATGCTCTAGTATAGTGTTTCTCAGATTTGGCAACTTTTAAGTTGTGTGGACTTCAACTCCCAGAATTCCCTAGCCAGCATGCAACAAAACTTTTGCTAAGAATAAAAAAGACCTTGGTGCAGAATTATAGAAACTGTATCTGTATTGATATGTGACCTTGCTAATGAAGACGAATCTACTTATGAGAACTTGATGTACTGCCAATCATATTTTCTTTGATTAGAGTTCAGGATGAAAAATCACTTTATGCCTGGACAAACATGATAAGGAGAGACATATATTCTGGGTACTGAAAGATCAAAGGCATCACTCCTGTGGAAATGACCACAATCATCGTATTGCTTATTTCCAAAAGGAATCGCCAGAATTTAAGTTCTACGCACAGTTCCAACTTCAGCCTTCTGAGAGCTCAAATACCTTAAATATGGCACAAATGAAGATTTGCTTATTTTAGAAAAAGTTGTATTTGAATATGTAATCCCAGCCTTTTATAGGAAGCCCACAGCATGCATGCAGTCACAATGAACATGCAACTGGAAAGCACTATTCCTCATGCTGGCCCTCCATTCTTCCATCCACTGAATGAACCAAGGCTACACTGGCAGCAGGGAATCTGGCTTTTGGCCTGTTGGGACTAGCAGAGTCTTCACCTCCAACCCAGTGCTTTCCATTTATCTCCCCATCAGGAGCAATTCTCTTTTACAAAGGCACCAATAGAAGTTTTATTTTTTAATTTATTTTTAAAAAGCCTCACTGGTGCACTGGGAACTATTTCTAAATGATGGGAACATAGGTGGCATGGGGAAAATCTAGCTTTTCCCTTTTTAAGGATTGGTTTAAACCAGCTATCTCTCACCTCCCCCCGTTAGTAATCTTGGAAAAAAAAGGGGGGGGGGAAATTAAGCAAATGGAAGGATTTTCCATTGCCTTCTTCTTTTGCTTGCTCACAGTGAACCTGCTAAGCTGCCAGGGTTGCATTATTAGTATTAACTTTAAAGAATTTATTTGTTTTATTTATTAGATTTATTAGCTGACCATCTCCCTCCTGTGATTTATTCCTGTTGTGATCGCAGTTGTGCAAGGAGATTGTCTGTTGATTCAGTTCTGTTACTCACTGCTAAGTAGTTTTCAACTCACCTGGACATGGTATTGAGATGTTTCGTGCATGATGATATTTGAGTTGGAGTATTTCTTCCTTTGTTCTGTAGAAGGAAAAAAAAAAGTAGGACAATAATTGATCCAGGACTTGGCTACCTTTTAGACTGCTTTCTTCCAAAAATGATTCTAGTGTTATCCCAGCCAGAATAACAGCAACATTCTAGCATGTATGGGTATTATTTAGTTACGTAAGTCCCAAAGTAGGTATTTTCTTGGCAAACACAGTCCGACTTCTTCATTATCCAGAAAGACAGAGAGGCTGTCACTCAGTGCCAAAGACAATTTCCCCTCCTTGGCTCTTTAAAGAGTCCTGATACAGTTTTCCCATACTTAGTGCTCACTAGATATGGTTAGGATGTAACTCTCACATCCTCTCCTTCAACATATAATCATCACATTCTGATAGCAGACATTCAGTATGAGAATATTGATTGGGGAATTCTAAGAATTGAAATTCAAAGATCAGAGACTATCTAATTAATGAATTTTAAAAATTCACTTTTTGGAGATGAAATGAGAGGGGAGGGGAGGGAGGAGGAGAGGAGAGAGGAGAGGAGAAAAGAGAATCCTACGCATGTGGAAGGGAAACATAGAAAACTAAGCTTTGATTTCAGGTCAGTAAGATTCTACCGGCCAACGCTGCATATCAAAAATTCAAAACCAGCCATCCACAAATGTTCGTTTATTTATTGTTTAAAAACTGCCATTCAGCCATAAGAAATGTTACACATAGAACATTATACATAATGCAAAAACCTCCTGAATATTATATAACAATAAAATTACAAATTACTTAGCATTAAACACATTTTCCATCAATCAATCAACCAACCAGTTATTTTTTTAAAAAAAGAAATAAATTTAAAACACCTGGTGAAAAAGAAACATTGTGATTTGGTGTCATATAAAAGCAAAGTCAGTGCTCATCCCATCTTCCTAGAAAGGGCATTTAAAAGTTGGGACACCATCACCAAGATGCATTATGGAATTGCATTATGTACTTGTCAGTGATGCTTTGGGGAACAGAGCCTTCTTTGAAAAACTAATAAACAAGTAAGATTATATGACTGGCGCTTTTTTCTAATATTTCAGCTCCAATCCATTTTAGGACTTTATAGGTTGAATTAGGAAGATTCTGTTACTGTAGTTTTATATTAGAGTAGAATTAGTTCATCTGATCAAGCTTCTGATCTGGTCTACCTGGGAAAGCTAATATCAGTCCTGCAAATCTGCTGTCTCTTTTATAACTTGAGAAGTTAAGAAGGTTCCTTTCTGAGTCTCTTTCTTTACTCATTATACAACTGTGTGCTATGCCCTCTCTTATCTGATTGTTCCCTAGATAACATCTCTCCCCTCCACACACCCAAACACCCAAGGTCATTTCCACATTTCATTACAATTCTTCACTTCCGGTGATATGAACAGTATACTTTTATTGATGCAGCCTAAAATGACAATCACCTTTTTTTGTAGTCACATTTTTAAAAAGAGAATGGACAACCATTTGTCTGAAACAGTGTAGGGTTTCCTGCTTGAGCACGGGGTTGGACTAGAAGACCTCCAAGGTCTCTTCCAACTCTTGTTATTCTGTTACTCTAATGACTCATTCTCAGTTTTTAATCACTACTATTCCAAAATCTTTTTGCATTACTACAATTAGCATGTCAGGTGTGTTAAGTCCTTCGTTCGCGTGAGAATGATGAATACACATAGCGAAGTTAAACAGCTCTTTATTCTTCTTCCAACAACACCCGAACAACGGCAAAAGGCACGCAGGCCTCTTTATGTGTCCAGAGACCTGGACAATGGCAAACAAAGTAACAGAGCGTTTTTGCGCCTTGCGCATGCGCATAAGGCTGGCACCGCTCAGTCTGGTCCCGGGCAGCTTTTGGAATGCCCGGGACCAATGCAATGTCCCGAGCCTGCTTTTGCAGGCTCAGGACATAACAAGGTGTATAACTGTGCAATTTACATTTGTTTTGTAAATAAAGAACTCTGCATTTGCCTCTGTTAAATGTCATTCCATTACATTTGCAGAAAAGACACTAGATGTGAAAAGGTTTTGCTTAAGAAATATCCTATAGCTTCCTGCTAAAAAATAATCAGATTTACTGCCTCCTTTGGGTCATCTCCACACTATTTTTATCTTTTAGTTTAAAAGGAGTCTAGCTAAATATTGTTTTCACTGCTATTGATTTGAATATTGAGGCCCTTTAATATCTTCTTCCAGCTGATCAATACCAGAGTGCAAAAACTGGCATTGAAGCATTTCCTGTCTCTATTTTAAGTTCATGTTGTGTTATTTTTTCTGCTCAACAACCTGAGCAACTGCGATAAGAACAGGCTGCAAGCCACCAAATTCCATCCCTTATATATATTATATATGCATATATAGAAGATAGAAGACAGAATACTTTATTGGCCAAATGTGATTAGACCCACAAGGAATTCCGGTGCAGAAGCTCTCAGTGTACATGCAAAACAACAAAATAATAATCATAATAACAAAGTAATAATCATAATAATGATATTAATAAGAGAAGGTAGTAGATGAGAAGATATAATACAGCCATCTACATGAATAAATATAACTATACATAAGATAATACTGTGGGAATTAAGTGTTCAGCAGACTGATGGCATGTGTCTAGTTGGCATGCAATGCCCTGTAGCAGGGAGGAGTTGAAACAGTTTATGACCAGGATGTGAGGGATCTGTAGATATTTCAATATAAGTACTAGAAAAATCTGTGAAGTACAATGATTGGACCATAGCAGAAGGGGGGGAGGGAGAGCAGGGGATATTCTCATTCTTTCTTAAGATTTCTATTTCCCAAAACAGATGAGAAAAAAATAAGGAACAGCAATTGTTTCTCTTATTGTTCTGAAGAGCTTTCTGCTTTCTTGCTTTCTCCAAAATACATAATAAATAAAAGCTCCAGAGAAAAAATAAACATGCTCCTGGGCATCCTTCTTGCCATGGGACACCCTTGTCCTGACAAACCTGGAAAGAGATTCATAGATGTCTGCGTGAGAAATCTACTTGACAATGATTATACAAACTTGCAAATAAGATGTTGTTTAGTCGTCTGTGTTGAATAAGAGACATCCAAATGACCAGACTGGAGAGATTTACAACATTCTTTTCTTCTCCAGCTACATCTGGCTGACCTAGTTATCAGTAAGCTAGAAATAATTTACAATGATGTAATAATGGTATGTATGAATTAATTTGATGGGTTATCATAACAGGTTAGAAATATTATTTTAGAATGCTATTCTAAAGTTTAAAAACATCCTGTGTTATGTACAACCTAAATACACAAAATGCAACTAAAAAAAAGAAAGATGAAAAGCACAAGCAAGAATAAATGATTGCTAAGAGACTAAAGACAAACATACTATAAAAGAATCCCAGGGAAAAAAATGTTACTGACATAAAATAGGAAAGGTATGTACTGTACATCATAATACGACAGCCAGAGTGTTAAGGGAGTAAAAAACTGGGATATTAGCACAACAGAAGACAAACAAAAAGAATATTTATACTCAGCAATTCCTCCTGGAAGGAATGATGTTTTTAAAAAAATATTCTGGTTTTATAGAATAACCAGATGGCTTCATGAAAGAGTTTAAGTCAGGGTGAGTGGATTTAGCCAATTCAGTTGCCTCAAATCTTGATCTGAGCCAGCCAGGTGAAGATCCAAATAACTATATACTAGCTAACTATAAACAAGCAAGACCTGAGCTAGCATTCTGAATATAAGTATAGGATTAAGAAAAGTAAAGTCTTTGCTCTTCAAAGGAAAATGTTTTAAAAAAACTTATCTGGTGTAAGAATCTCAGATCATGTATAAAGAAGTCTTTGAATTCCAAATTTTTAATTTAAATTTAATATTCATTCAAGGAATGAAATGTTTCTTTTTCAATATTTGTTATTTAAAAAATAAAAATGAAGACATAATTCACACAAAATGGCAAGGATAAGGAGGTGAGCAGAAATTCCTTGATCTTTAAGGGCACAAAACACCAATTTAAGTAACAAAGATGGAAGAAGAAGTTCTGGGGCTCAGGAAGTGGAAGAGAGGCTACAATTCAAGCAAGACAATTCTGCATCTAGTTTTTTGTTTCCATTGGTTATAACTGAATAATGTGGCATGCAACTAGAGACATGGGAAGGAAATGACAGATTCTCCTCTCTTTGCTATCCATCACTGAAATAATAGCAAGTCACATATAGTAAGTCATTGTGATACAAGAGGCCTATGTTTCTAGATCCAAGATAAGTCCATGAATAGAGATTAGTCAGAAAAGGTCTTCAGAACAGGACAAAGATTTGTTGTCTGTGTCTTGTTCTGAAGAGGGCTGTATAAATCCTACACTTGTGAAGAAAGGGATGGAGCAAGTTCTCCTCCACAAAAGATAAGCCAGGCCCTAAGGAAAACTTCCATTACAGTGATATTCTTTGTTTCCTTCATTAACTGCAGGTCAATCTTCCTTTCCTGAGCTATTGGAGGACATAATTTCTGGCATCATCAATCTATTCTGTCATATTATGTGCTACTGCTCAGCATAAAGGATGAAGACTCACCAATGCTCCACTTTTCTATCTCTTTGACAATCAAGGCAGCTTACAACAGTAAACCCAAACAGAAAAATGTAAACAAAGCAGCATTAATATAATTCAAGTTCAAATAAGAATCAAACATTCAAGTACATTCATTAGGAATAAAAATCTTGGTAGCAAGGATGTGCTTTTATCAGCTTTTACAGGGCCAAATGCTCTCTCTAGGACAGGGGTGGACAACTCAACCTGTGTACTTCAACCCCCAGAATTCCTGAGTCAGCCATGCTCCAAGTCCACAGATTGTAACTAGCTCAGGAATTCTGGGAGGTGAAGTCCACAGATCATAAAGGGGCCATAATTGCCCATCCCTGCTCTAGGAAGTGCTTTCCACCTCCTAGGAGCCATACCTTCTTTCCTTTCTATACCTCTTGAGAAGTATGGCTCCCAGGAGGTGGAAGAAGAGTACCAGAGAGTTGAA